GCAGCAGCAGCACCAGCAGCAGCAGCAGCTGATTGAAGGTGTTGTTGCTGTTGTGCTGCTGCTGCTGCTGCTGCCTCTGATGCTGCTGAAGCAGCAGAGCCTGAGATACAAGCAAGCAAACGCACGCAAAAGAAATAAACTAAAATAACAACAGAAGAACAAACAAAAACAATAAAAATATTTATATACAAATCAATACAAACAACATACACCGAAGTAATATATACAAATCTACATAAATAAATATATTAATATGTATATAATTTATATATATATTTATAATCTAAACTGAATAAATATAAATAAATAAATATTAATAAAATATTAATAAATATAATATTAATAAATATGAATAGATACAATGTTAATAAATATAATATTGATAAATATAATATTAAATATATATATGATACTACTAAATATAAAATAAATAAAATATTATTAAATAAAATATTATTGAATGTGATATTAATTAAATATAATATTATTAGATAAACTATTATTAAATATTAAATAAATAAATAAATAAATAAATATAAAATAAATAAATAAATATTATTAAGTAAAGTATTTACCCGTCGGAAGTACTTTTGACATTGCGTCGCTCAGCCCGGCGTAAACTTGCTGCAATTTTGCTGTGATAGCCTCTACTGACTGCGGCTGCACACAAATAAATAAATACAAATAAACAAATATAAATAAATAAATATAAATAAATAAATAAATATAAATAAATAAATATAAATAACAGACTAAAGGGGTACGAGAAAGGATAGATATAGAAGATAAACAAACAAATACACAAAAAGAAATAAAACAAATAACAACAAATAAATAAACAGACAGCAAAATAAACAAAATATAAAAGAGATAAATAATAACATAAAATAAATAAACAAATAATTAAATAAATAAATAGACAAATAATAGAACAGTGAGAACAAACGGCAGATAAACAACAAACAAAGACAAAAAAGAAAACAAATAAATAAACAGATAAACAAACAAATAAACAGATAAACAAACAAACAAATAAATAAATAAATAAATAAATAAACAAAAAAATAGAGCAAACAAATTACCTCTGAATGAAGGAGATTAGTCATGCTGCTATCGAAGCGCTCTCGAAGAAGAGCAAGCGATAAGTCCGTCCTGCAGCAGCAGCAGCAGCAGAAGCAGCAGCAGCAACAGCAACAGCAACAACAACAACAGCAGCAGCAGCATGGTTGGTGGTGTTATTTAAATGCATGCAGCAGGTGAGGAGGAGGTCAGTGCATACAACAGCAGCTGCAGCAACAGCAGCAGCAGCAAACAACAACAGCAACAACAGCAGCAGCAACAGCAACACTAACAGCAGCAATAACAGCAGCACTAACAGCAGCAATAGCAGCAGCAGCAATGTGTATTTTACTGTTGTTGTTGTTTAAGGAGTTGATCTCTCTCTCGTTGTATTTGTTTGAGTATTTCTTTAGTTTCTTGTATTTGATCTGCTGACTGTTTATATTCTTTTGCTCTTTCTTCGATTTGTTTCTCGCATTCGCTCTTCAGCTGCAGCAGACGCAGAGACTGCGATCGCCGCTCTGCTTGAAATTCTATCAAAGCCTCTTCTAGCTGATTCTTCTCAACTTCTAATTGCGTTTGTTCATCACTAACATAGTCAGCACTTGTACAAAGAAAGCAGCGAAAATCGTGCATCCATCCCTTTCCTCCTGCTGCTGCTGCTGCTGCTGCTGCTGCTGCACCTTCTTCCCCTGCTGCTGCTGCTGCTGCTGCTGCTGAGAGGTCGTCTGGCCGCTTCATTAAATGCATATTCTGCTGCTGCTGCTGCTGCATGCGTTTCGCTATACCGAATATTGATTTCTTCTTATGGGGCTGCTTAGGCGGAGGAGGGGGCAAAGGAGCAGCATAAGGATTGTCTTCAACTGCAAGCACCTCATAGCTGCTGTGTCTAGGCATTCTTTCTCTAGGAAATTTATATTTAAATTTACTCGGAATCAGCGCATGCAAGTTGCTGTTGCTCGGGTGTATATCCAGCTGCGGAGAACCCTCTGCTCCTGCTCCTGCTGCTGCTGCTGCTACTGCTGCTGCTGCTGCTGCTATGGGGCCGCAACATCCAGCTGAAGTTATATCGCGAGACGGAAGCAAGGGAGGGGATATTGGGCCTCCTTCTGCTGCAGGTGCTGCTGCTGGAGATGCTGCAGCAGCAGGTGCTGCTGCAGCAGCAGCACTTATCCCTCCCCAAGGAGCAGGTGGGGTAGCGGAAGGAGGCCTCTCAACCCAATGTGCATTTTCAGGTGATGCTGCTGCAACTTCTTTAAAGGAATTAAACCCTGAAAGCTTGCTGTTGCTGCGGATCTGCATAGGTAGAGTTTCTCCTCCCATCATGTTGCTGCGGTTCTGAAAGGAGAATGAAGAAGGGGCACCCTCAGCCATCATAGAAGGCGAGAAGCTAAGCCCCTCTGCTGTTGCTGCTGACCTCAACTCCGCCATCTACGCAGAAAAAAGAAGTTCATGAAGCGGCCGTTGCAACAAATAAAGCGGAGCTCCCCGGGAACACCGGAGGCATCGAAGTTCGGAGGCGACGCGGCTCTGTCAAAAAGGGAAACAAAAGGGTAAACTGCTCCTAAATCCCTTGGATAAATTCAAGAATAAACTTAATATCAAGAAGCAATCTGCATAAATAACCGCAAAACACGAAACGCTCTCAACAATGCCGTCCCGCTGGCCTGGGCAGCCACGACACCGCCGCTGCCTGGAGGCTGCGGAGCAGACGACGGAAGTTATGCGAGAAAATTATAGTCAAAGTACTTTAGGAAGAAATAAATCACAATTATGAAGAAGTTGAAAAGCAAACAAAACTCTCCAGCAGCGAGCAACAGTCCGACGATCTCCGATGCTCTCGAACCGAGACGCTGAGCTAGCAGTGCTCAGCTGGGAGATGCACAGGAGGGAAAGCTGCTGGTTTTCGGGAGTTGGGCGGGAAAATAAGAATAAGAAAGCGTAAAAATGAGTTTATACGGTATATTTTCGCTGATATACCCCTCAAAAGACGCAGACGAAGAACAGAGCAACCGCACCGAGAACCTGCGCCGAGCCATCCGGGTGTATCCGCAGCTCAGTCGCGTTCGGCCGCGACCCCTCAACAGCATGCAAGTTGGGTGCCTGGTGTTGAATTTGAGGATATATTTCATGGAAACTCAACGAGAATGTTAAAAGCTGATGTTTTTCTTTGCTATCCCCTTCTCTTCCTCTTGATTTTCGTCCGCGTACACCCAGCAACCTCTAACGGCGCCTCCTACAGCTGCAATCTGCCGCGTCTTAGCAGCCACAAAGTATGATTAGGGAATCAAGCGACTTCGTTTACTGGAAATGAGTATTGATGAACAGAAATATTCGGAAAATAGACAAGCAAAAAGCAAAGGAGAGCAGGATGTGTCTAAAACAAACAAAGATAATGCGCGCGCTGCCATTCAATATTTCGTGGATAATTCACCTCCGGGGGCTCTCCGTGAGGTAATGGAGAGTGAGTTGAATATCTTTTTTAATATATTTTTACTCTCTTCTTTATTTTCATTTCAGAAACACAAAACATATCGAGCGTTTATGCCGTCCCCCAGCTCAGGAGCTCCAACATAATATATGCATGTCTAGTAGTATAGCTACCCTTTAAATTGAATTATATTCTCTTGAAAAGAATACTGTTTCTCTCAGGCGCTCATTAGTATTAGACAGAAGGCGTTTGCTTGTCTTTTAATTGCTGCGTCTCTCTCTATATTTCTATATTTCTTTTTTTTGTTTAATTCTCTTCTTCAGCATGCGAGCTGCTTGTAGACCCATCTTATATTTCAAATAGATTTGTGGAGGAGGCTCTTCAAAGATCTGCAGCAAAACAAAGACAGATTGTTGAATTTTCTTTTAAAATGTCTTCTTACCAGGTGAATTGAGTTGTTACTAATATCTAATTGCTTTTAAATTAATGCAGAAAAACAAACACATAAAAACGCATTCTTCTGTCTTCTCGCTGTCTATTTCTTCTCATTTCTCCCCTTACTTCGTTCATATTACATCGCATTTATGCATAGATGAATATACTCAATGCGGTGTGTACATATATATATGTATATATATGTATATAGATAGATAGACAGATAGATAGATACACTATTAATATAATATTCAAGCGCTTGTTAATTTAGTTGATATTTTCGCACATACATAAATTCACATACATATATAATATATATATACATATATATGTATATATTTATATATATTTGTACAATAGTTTGACGCTTGTTTATTCAAGATATATATATATATTTATTTATAAACTACTGAAGCATTTGTAAATATAAGTTGTATTTAAGCAAATGAATATTATTTTTTGTTTTAAATATATTTATTTAATCAGGCGGTGCTCTGTGAAGCTGCTAAATTGCAAAACGGAGCATTTCTGCATCCTGAGACGCGACAACAAATCGTCGTAAATGCAGCTGACAGTGTGAGCATTTAACTATTAACTTTTTATTATTTATTTATTCTATATATTGTTATTATTTATATTATTATTATTATTATTATTTGTAGTATTATTATTGTTTGTATTATTATTATTATTATTATTATTATTATTATTATTATTATTTTATTATTATTATTATTATTATCTTATTATTATTATTATTATCTTATTATTATTATTATTATCTTATTGTTTTTACTTACTTGTACGCATGCGTACATGTAGGCAATTTAGTGTTATTTGTATGCATGCAGTTTATTATTATTTAATTGCATGCATGCACTTATTGTTGTTATTGATGTTGCTGTTGTTTTTCTTTTTCTTTTTTTTCTTTTTTTGTTTCTTCTTCTTCTGCTTCTCATCCTTCTTGCTGCTGCAGCTTCAATTATTATAATTAGTTTTTGTACGATGCTAATACTTTGAATTGTTGCTTGTATTATATTTGTTTATCTTCTTTTATTTATTTATAAACAAAAGAAGAAAAATTTGTTTTATCCTTCAGACGTTAATTGTCTCTCAAGTTAGCGAAGCACCGCCTGAGGCATTTGTAGAAGAAATTGAATTATACAGGTTTGTTGTTTTATTCGTTTTTCTTTTATTTGTTCTCGTCTATTTGTTTATCTATTTGTTTGTTGTTTTATTTGTTTTTCTTCTATTTGTTTTCTTCTATTTGTTTATCTATTTCTTTCTTCTTCTTCTATTTGTTTACTTCTATTTGTTTTTTATTTGTTTCTGCATTTGTTTGTTGTTCTTTCTATTTTATCCCTTCTTACCTTCGTATGAATCTTTGCTTCTTTTCTTTTGTTATTCTCTGTTGTATTTAAATTATTTTTTTAATCTGTTTCTTTTTATCTTTCTATTAATCTGTATTTCTGTAATATTGTATATTTTTTCTGTTTCTTATCTTATTAATGAAGAGGAGGGGTTAAGTGCATGCAAATGTTATTAATTTTTTGCTGCTGTTCTCTGCCTTACAACAGAGAAGCCCTGGAAATAGAGTTATTGAAGTATATTAAAATGCATCCAGCTGAAGAAAACTTCAAAAATATGCTAACAAATGCGGCCGTGATAGAACGTGCTGCTTCTGTCTTTGCAAAGAGAGAAGAGAGAAACGAAGAAAATAAAGAGCAAGAAAAAGAATTAAAGATTAAAAGAGAAGATAAAGAAGATAAAGAAGAAGAAAAACAAACAAAACAACAAGATAAAGAAATACAACACGATAAACACATACAAGACGTGCAGAGTGAAGCAAAAGAAATAAATAAAGAAGAAAATAATGCAAATAAACTTCAAAAAAAGATAAAAGAACAAACAATTCAACAAACAAATCTTCAAACTTGTAGAAAAAATAAATATTTACTAACGGCTGTCTTAGCGACTTGGGTGAAGAACAACGCTGGCTGTTGGTGAGGAGAAGTAATTCAAAGTTAATATTTAAATATATTTTAATATATTTATTATAATATATATATATATATTATATTATATATATTATATCTGTGTTCTATATAATATATATCATAATAAGAATAATAATAGAAATAATAATAAGCATCATCATAGAAATAATAATAATAAGAATAATTAGAATAATAATAGAAATAATGATAGTAATAACAATAGTAAAAATAATAATATTGATAATAATAATAATAATAAATAACAAATAATATATATCTGTATAATAATAATAGTAAGATAGTTAAGTTATATTAATAAAACAATTTGTATAAATATTCCTTCAGTTTTATTTATATTGATTAATTAGTTTAATTTGCATTTGGTTGCTGTCTTTTAGAGGGCTTTATTACTTTTTATTAATATGTGCATTTATTATTTATTGTTATTTAATCTACGACTTAGGGTTTAGGGTTAAGGGTTTAGGGTTTAGGGTTTAGGGTTTAGGGTTTAGGGTTTAGGGTTTAGGGTTTAGGGTTTTTTGTATATTATTCAGGTGTTGTTCCTGGACGAGCGAATGGAGAATTTTTTTTTCTTTTTCGCAGGGCGTAATATCCCCTCAAGTGGGCTTTGAGGTAATCTAGGGTTTAGGGTTTAGGGTTTAGGGTTTAGGGTTTAGGGTTTAGGGTTTAGGGTTTAGCTTGCAGCATCTCTTTGTAATTATTTTTAATTGTAAGCCCTTAGATTATATTTATTTCTTTTGGCTTTCTTTTTGTTTTACTTTTCTTTCTATTTGTTTCTTCTTGCTTGTGGGTTGTCTATTACGTATTTGAAATATTATATATGTAGTAATAATATTAATATTTTATTATATATGCATGCATATATATGTAAATATATGCATATTATATACAATGATATACTGTATATAATTATATAATATATTATTGTTGTTGTTATTATTATTATTTTGTTTTAATTTTAATTTTAATTTTTATTATTTTATATAATAGTATATTATATGCAGTGATGCATTACATATAATTATATATAATAATAATAATTAGTATTGAAAGTTTAATAAATAAATTTTAATATATTTTTATTTTGTTTTACTGTAGGGCGATGTTTGCGTTCGGTGTTACATCAACGAAGATTTCTCTGCTCAGTCTGAATTTCATCGTCAATTTCCTGCTGCTGCTGCTGCTGCTGCTGCTGCTGCTCCCAGCTCAGCAGCAGCAGCAGCAGCAGACGAGGAACAGATAGATAATCAAAGAAAAAGGAGAGAGAGCTCAGAAGAAGCATCAAACAAATTTTCTGTCTCTTCTTCTTCTGAAGTATTTAATTTTAATTTGGAGTGTACAGACACTCCGACTGCGTTTGCAAAGACAATTGCAAAAATAATTAAATCAAAAGAAGAAGAAGTAGAAGAAGAAATAGATCAATTCTTTTCAAAGAGAGGTTAGCTGAAGATATATCTGTCTTTGTATTTATTTTTATCTTTATGCTTATTTATCTGTTTTTATTTGTCTGTCTTTACGTTTATTTGTTTGTCTTCGTATTTATTTATTTGTATGTTTATTTATTTTATTTGTTTATTTATTTATTTGTTTGTTTGTCTTTATTTATATTTCATATATATAAATATATAAATATATATATATATATATATATTTAGACTTCTCTATTTCTTTATTTTTCTTTTCGTGTAGTTATCTGTCTATGTATTAATATGTCTATCTGTCCATCTACATATCTATCTAAATAAATATACATATATATAATAACTATATAATATATTTATTTATTTATTTATTTATTTGTTGTTATATTCACAGCATTGCACTTGGGTTTGTCTTTGCGTCGTTCTTTGGCTTTCTACGGCCGCACTTTTGATTGGAGTAGTCAAAAATTCCGACTTCAAAGACAAATCAACACTGCACCTGACTCTCTGTTCTAAACAAACTGCAGCAACAGCAGCAACAGCAGCAGCAGCAGCAGCAGCAGCAACAGCAGCAGCAGCAGCAGTTTCTCTATTCTAAACAAACTGCAACAGCAGCAGCAGCAGCAGCAGCAGCAGCAGCAGCAGCAGATTCTCTATTCTAAACAAAGAGCAGCAGCAGCAGCAGAATCTCTATTCTAAACAAACTGCAGCAGCTGCAGCAGCAGCAGCACAATCTCTGTTCTACACAAACTGCAACAACAGCAGAATCTCTATTCTAAACAAACTGCAGCAGCAGCAGAATCTCTATTCTAAACAAACTGCAGCAGCAGCAGCAGCAGCAGCAGAATCTCTATTCTAAACAAACTGCAGCAGCAGCAGCAGCAGCAGCAGATTCTTTAAAGAAACAGATTCTTTCTTTTTAATTTCTTTTAAGTAAACACCCGCAGCATATTTGTTAATTTGTTTTTTATTTATGTGTTTATTCTGTTTATCTCTCTGTGCATATATTTCTTTTGTTTGCTCCTTGCTCTGCATTTTTTTATATTTGTTTGTTTGTCTGTCTTTAACTTCCACTTCCCCGCATGCACTTTATTTTTGAGTAATTACATCATTAAAGAGCATTTATTTTTATATAAATGAACAAATAAAGCATAAATACCTCGGTTGATTAATTTTTAATACAAATAAATAAAATATATATATCTTAGCCTGGGTTATTTTTGTTTGTAATTTGTTTGCTTCGTCTTAACTCTCTCGCTTTGCAAATGCCTCTCCTTTCTTTCTTTCTCTGTCTTTGTCTCTGTCTGTCTTTGTCTATCTGTCTGTCTTTGTCTTTATCTCTGTCTCTGTCTCTGTCTATTTTTGTCGCTGTCTCTCTCTCTCTGTCTTTGTCGCTGTCTGTCTATCTGTCTCTCTCTACCTGTCTCTGTTTTTCTCTGTTGTTTTTCTGCGTCTATATCCTGCAGCTAATAAATAATTGCATGCATTTATTTATTTATAATTATTTATACTTATTTATTTATTTGTTTTTCTTCATTTAATTCTACTGAGGTCCCTCCCATTGAAAATTCTCTGTCTTCGGCTGGCAAAAAGAAGCAAAGAACCTCCTACTACGCTGCTGCTGCTGCTGCTGCTGCTGCTGCTGCTGCTGCTGTTGCTGCTGCAGCTGTAGCAGGGAACAAGAAATGCATCGGCAGCAGCAGCTGTAGCGGGGAACAAGAAGTGCATGCAATCATTCTGCATGCATTCTGCTGTTTTTGGTTTTGCTTGTATTCAACTTTGCATGCACTTGGGGTGTATATGCAGCTCTGCATGCAATCGACAGAGGCTCTTGCTTCGACTCGCCAATTATTTCTTTCAATGTACAAACAGGCAAACAAACAAACTAAAATCAACAAGCAAATATGCATGCATGCACCTTTGCATGCAAAAGGATATATTATAACTCCTGGATATTTACATTTATACTCACCACATTGATTATGCATGCATGCATATATAGCATATTATATATATATATATTATATATGCATGCATGCATACATGTTGATGTGCATGGAGTATATGAATTTGCAGAGCTAAAAACGAAGAATAATATTTTTGTGTTTTGTTTGATGTGTATGTACAGAGCAGAATTAGCTGAGCATAATGCAAGCGCCCGCTCTTTCTGCTTTTTCTTTGAATAGATTAGAAGTTAGTGTCTTCGCTTGCAGTGCTGCACTCTCTAGAGGAGTAGCAGCAACCCCGTCAACTGCATTTAATTCATAAGCAGTGTTTGCTTCTAGTTTTATTACTTCGTTTGTATCTCCTCTGTGCAGCCACACCTGCGTCTTCAGAGGCCCTGCAGATTCTATCATCGTTACTTCGCCATCAAATGCCTGCATGCACATAAACAAATAAATAATAAACATATATATATGTTTATATATATATATATATATATTTAAACGTGCATATATATATATATATTCGGTTTCATAGATATGCATATATTAATGCATGCATTAATAAATGTATGCATGTGGTGTTCATGCATGCATACAACTAGGCTTGCATGCATTTATGATATCGAGACAAGAAAAGAAGGCATATAAAAACAAAAGAAAAGACAAAACAAACAACAAAATAACGAAACAACAAAATAACAACAGAACAACAAAACAACTCCGGCTGCTCATACGGGGTAAAACCAAAGAAAAAAGAAAATCCTCTCTCTATGATGTAGAGATGAATACAAATAATATATATATAATATATAAAGATATATATAATAATAACAGTAATAATAATAATAATAATAATAAACAATAAAAGGCAACAAGACGAGACTAACAAGCTAGCAGCCAACAACAGAACAACAGACAAGCAAACAAAGAACATGCAGAAAGCAACGAAACAACAAACAAGCATCAAAAATAAAAAAAGAAGAATAAACAAATAAACAAATAAACAAATAAATAAACAGTCAGACACGCAACAAACAAAAAGGAAAAGCAACAACAACAAACAAACATTATCAAGGCGATCCTCACCTTCACTGCCTTTAAGAATGCGCACCAACCTTGAAAATATCTTTTACTATCTCCCTGACAGTTTCTAATAAGTTCTGTTCTCCCCTGGTTTGTTGAATATTTAAATGCAGGCACGGGCTTGCGGGGGGTGAAGTGCATTAAGGCGTTGGGCACGCTGTGTCTGCAGCAGGTGTACGTACACCCCAAAGAAAAGATTAAAATGTTGCATTCTATGAGAAGGTAGATGCAAACAAGAACCAGAAATACACAGAGATACACACTCATAAACAAACAAAGTAATGCATACATACACACACCCAGACACACGAAGTAAGACGGAAGCAAAGGAACAGAGTAAGAACACTTCAGGCGTGCTAGAAGACCGCCATAAGTACAATTAAAAAGGCTAAAGAAACAAAATTTCAATGAATTCAATCAAAAGAAGAAGAAGAAGAAAGGTAAACAAACTCACCTACTCCAGGTAAGAAACAGCGTGCCTTGAGAGGCAGTATCGAAGGATAAATAGGCGCCCTCTTCATCATTTTCTATAGGGCGTGAGTCTGCCCTAACAATGGACATTTTGATTTAAAGATAGAAGAAGAAATGCAGAAATATTCAACTCGCTTTTCAGGTGTACATACACCGCAGCAGAAACCGCGACGCGCGCCCGCGCACAACTAGCGATGCGTAGATGCTTCTTCTGGGCTCTTCTGTTGATATTTGAAGTAAAATAGTGAAAGAAGAATTAAAAGAAATAAAATATTCATAAACTTGAGGGAAAAGTGCCAAAGAGATATGCGAATATCGCCTCTTAAGCTGTGCAGGCCGCAAGACGGCGCGGTGTTGTGCAGAGGAGAAGGGAGAGAGGAGCAGATAATTAAAAGAAGAGAAGTAAAGGTAAATAAAACAAAAAGGTTTAAAAGAGAAGATATAAAAGCTTTGAATTAAATGTTCAAACAGCCCCAGCAGCTCCTAAACTCCTCACGAAAAACAACGAAAAACTTCCACTGGGTGACCACCAGTCTTTTTCGTTTTCTTCGATTGCACACCGATGAATAAACTCTAGAAGGAAGAAAGATATATTTATTTGCATGCATTTATAGATAGATACAATATCTAGCTAAACAATCTCTCTCCTTTCTTCTCGCATGCGTAGCTGAAAGCTTCGCTACCTTCTGCTGCTTCTGTTGCTGCTGCTTCTGCAGCAAAACAAAACAAACGAATTGTTGCGCCAATATATTTTCTTGTTTCTGCTGTATATACAGCTTGACTTCTACATAGACAAGGAGAGTTTTTTGTTTATTTCGCGTCTTTCCTCTGGAGTCAATAGGAAAGTATTAACTAAACTTTATATAAAGCAGCTTCGTGCAAGCAAACACATATAATAAAACACTTCTTTACTGTGTCTATACAGACAGCAAAAAGGAGTTTGTTTGTGTACTCTTCAAGATAAAGACAGTAGCAGTATTACTTCTAAAGAAGTACTGCTGGAGTATGCTTTCTTCTATAAGCGCCTTCTATAAACATATTGGGTTAGGGAGATAAGAGGCGAGGCTTTCATTCATATTTTTAAAAAATGTCTGCATAAGAAGTTTTATTAGACTGCAATTTAAATTATATATCTCTCCCTATCCTCAGATTAGATAGCTGGCTTTGTACAAGGTTATCTATCACGTCGCCCACTGCTTCCTCCTTATAGGTGAATAGATGAAGAAATAAACAGTTATATATATATATATGTATATGCATACATATATATATCTTTATATATTTATACACAAATATAAAGGTATACACCCCACGTACATTGCTAATAAATTTGAAGACAGTGTTTTTTCATGAAATATTCGTCTAGGCCTGAGGCGCTGAGTTTGCAGAAAAGTTTGTAGGATATTTATTCTGTTTGTTTAGAATTTAAATCAAAGCTTCTTCTTCTTCTTCGCTTCTTTCTCACTGCTGAGAGCAAAAAATATATCTTTAACTACTCTTTACAGCATTTCTTAGTGCAGACACCCCAAGGGGGATTGGTAATGCTTTCAGTTTTTCAGGGGCCCTTGCAACAGCAGCAGCAATAGCAGAAGCAACAGCAGCAGCAATAGTCAGCAGCAATAGCAGCAACAATAGTCAGCAGCAATAGTCAGCATCAATAGCAGCAGGAGCAGCAGGACCATCGGCAGCAGCAGCAGGAGCAGCAGCAGCAACAACAGCAGGAGCAGCAAGAGCAGCAGCAGCAGCAGCAACGAGTTGCAGTGCTAAGAAATGTTTAACCGTCAGCAAGCGCTTTAGAACGCGGTGCGAGATGGGTATTGGGGGCCGACCTGAAGGCCCTTAACAAAACTAGAAAAAGTAAAAGAAGTATGCATTTGTTATTGAAGAATTATTTCTTTTATTGCGTTATTCAGCTGCTTTATTGTTTGTCAATATCACCGATACACCGCGGCACTCTTCATAGAAACACTTTCTCTTAAAAGACGCTGGATAAACCCTTAAGTTATGAAAAATAGGAAAAAGTCTGTTAATATCATTTCTGCATGCAATACACACATTTATTATTACTGAGTTATTGTTTATGCTGAGCTGGAAGAAGTAGAAGCCCTTGCAAAAAAAGTAGCTTTCTCTGCAGTTTCTACATATATATATATATATATTATATAAATATATATAGGAATATGCTGCTCTTTGATGCACAATTATATTCTTAAATGAGAATAGCAGAGAGAGTTAAGAAGCTGCTAGTGGTTAGGGTTTAGGGTTTAGAGGCCGGAGCAGCAGTCTTAGCTGTTGCTGCTGCTGTCGCTGCTGCCTCTTCTGTTGTTGCTACCTGCTGCTGCTAGTAGCAGCAGCAGCAGCAATGATAGTAGCAGGAGAAGCAGATCCTACCAGTATAATACTTTTGTTAAATCTGTGCTTAAAGAAGAAAGCTGCATGCAGACGAGGCGAATAAAGCAAGGGTGAGGGAGAGGAAACTCTCAGAATGGCGAAGGTGTTTTAAAGAAACAATTTATGAATTGTTTCTGCAAAAATAATTGTTTTAATTGAATGATTATTATTGTTGTCTATGCTGCTGAGTGCGCATGCAGTAGAGAAAGCTACAGAAACAAACAAAGGGAGAGTATTCTAATTTTAATTTGTATTGCTTCCCTTCATTAAATAAATAACTAAAAGAGTATTGACACGATGCAAGTGTTTCCTTGATAAGAGCAAACTTGTTCAAAACTTTCACCCGTCTTCTAAGCCTTCACTGCTTAGTTCGAACGAAGCTAAGACTTTCAAACATGCAAAGGGAGAAAGAGAGAAAAAGCTGTGAATATCAGCTGCTCTTCCTTCCGTATACTGTATGAAGCCCCTCAATGAACTCCACTTTGATTTAATATATTACTTTAGTGAAGATACACTCCTAAAACACCTCTTAAAGAGATCAACAACATCTCAAACAATATATATATATATATATATATATATTAGGGGCCTGGGAGAGCCTCGTACTTTGGCCAAATGAATTGCTGCAATTCATCTGCATATTTATAATATATTGTGTTGCTGTTGTTGTAAAGACGACAATTTTCAAACATTCGCATCATATCCGAACCCAGCTCCTGCTTTGTTCTATAGCCTCCCTGCACTCACAACATATATATATTATATATTATATATTATATATATAGTATGAATGAGAATAATATAAGAGAAAATACAGGAAAATTCATCTTGTCTACAGAACCGTAGCAGACGCATATCAAGATTTTCCCTGTGTTTAACAGCACTTAAACTCGAAAACAATTTTTATTTAATTAACATGAAGAAAATGATAATTGTTTTCGAGACAAAAAAGATATGCACTTAAATATTCATAACACCACCACTCCACAGCATACACCCAGGAGTTTCTATGGAAGCAGCTTGCATATACTATAAATATGTTTATATACTGCATGAATATGAATGTATGATGTACGGCGTCAAGCTGCTTAGTAAAACTGAGAAGCTAGCCTTTTTTTTAATTGCAAAAGGACAAGAAAGAGAATAAATAAGCTCGAGACGATGCTGATGTGCTACGTAATCAGAAATAGAAACTTACACTTTTGTTTTTTCTCCTCATACTGCTGATATCTACAGGATACTTCACCACTTCGTAGTAATCAGGCGCTTCTGAGACAGAGACAGGGCGCCTGAACGGCCAAGAGGAGGGATGTCTATCTAACAATGCTAAGAGAGCGGCTATTTGATTTTTCAATGAACGTCGCTGCTTCTCCTCTTGCTGCAGTTTGCTTGCTGCAGCAGCAGCTGCAGCCGCTGCTGCACTTTCTGAAGTAGAACAAACGTTCTCCCCCCCTTTTGAAGCAGCTGCTAATCCATCTGTCGATGCAATCGGTTGTCGATAACCCGCAGCAACAAGGCCAGGAACTTCAACAGGAAGCAGCACGCGAGATGGGTCTTTCTGAGATGCAAATAAAAAACATAAATCTCCTTCTCTTTACAAATGAACATGCAATATATATACCACTTCTAGAAACTCATTACTCCCCCACTATGAATAATGAATATACGCAGCTTCTTTGCAAAAACGTGCGTATTTACTTAAAATTTCAATGCATATAAACTTGTGCAAGATGCCCCTCCATATAGGGAGGGCAGCCTACTATATGTTTGTTTACTAGGGCAAACAAATATATATGCTGATATACCGGCATGTTGTAATTCGAATTAGATGATACACGGGGAAATAAAAGCGAGAGAAAGCAACAAATTGCTTCCCTTTGTTCCTCACCTTCCATACATCTAGCCCTGGCATCAATACTTTGGTTGTGCTTTCTTCAATGCATGCTTCCGCTGCTTTTCTTTGTTTGTCCAGCAAAGCCGACAATTTCAGGTAATTCACCTTACTGCTGATGCGGCATTCCATAAGAGTGCCGCCGTCATAGTCTTTAATGTATCTGTTGTGAAAAGACAAGAATAAAGACGAGAGAAGAAGTGAATATAAACGTTCAAATGAGACTCTAAATCCGTACAAGTGAAGACATAAAATCATGCAGAGAGTCTGATATCTCTTCTTAGATATACAGAAGAGAGAGTGCAAAGACGAAAGCAGAAAAAGACTCATGAAAAGGGCAGCATGCATACGAAATTGAATTGACTTACCCTAACCACCGGTCTCTAGGGAGAGAAATGCGGCTGGTGAAACCTTGCTTTCTGAAATACCCAACGGCAAAGTTATCTGCAAAAATGTTCAAACAACCGCAAGAAATCATAGATAAGTTCTTATAAAGTATAGACAATATATAATATATACACTACATAAAATACATAGAATATATATGATATATAAAATATATGATATATATACTGTGGAAAATATAATATCTATAATATAGACAATATATATAAATTATATAATAAATTCGAGTGGTTGGGGTGAAAGAAGATAGCAAATATCGTTGAGAAGATTTCTCTGCCTCTAAAACTCTTTAAAGAGGAGAAGCAACGTGTACATAGCTTGAAGAACCAAAGCTATTGTTGATATTACTGTTCCTTAACGCACACACAGAAGTGAAGAGAAAGTAAAAGAAAGCCTGATAGAGCTGAGCCTCACAGCATACCTGCATACGTAAGGAAATATTCTATTCCACTTTTCTTGACAAATTCCTTCAAATGACTCATCAATCTCGTTCCATATCCCTTTACTTGTTCGGTAGACGTAACCGCCAGAAATGCTATTTCAGCAAACCGCTGCATGCAAAAGCAGAAATCAATGAATTCACACAAACTTTTCCTTCTCTTACTTTCCTTTTCTTAAAATATATCAGGTACCATATATGGCTGGACAGTGATGCATATACTTCGTTCATCTGTGAATGTAATAATCACGCCCAAGCCAGGACGAGTATTTGAATTAGAATTATATAAAGTGCATTCACATAAATACACCTTTTAAAATATAGTGTCTATATATATATATAGATTGCTAGGTTTGAGGAAAAGAGAGTTTTTTCTTCAGAGTTATTGCGCGTCTGTCACCTGTTGAAAGTAGGGCCTGAAACAAACCCCGCCAACAACGCGATCTTTTTTGCAAAGACAAAACGTGAAATGACTTCGATCTAAGACTAATCGAGCAATATAATCCCTCGGCATCTTGGGGAGTTGACGAGAAAATATATTCTTTGCAGAAATTAATTTCGTTAAAGACGAAGGCCTTCTATCGTTTGTACAACAGCAAAAATGAATCACCCCCATTTCCTCTTCTAAGGCACCTCCCGCATCTCTTTGCAGAAAACCCAAGCCGGTTTCAGAGGGCAGAACAGACTGAAGGAAGCAAAAAAAGAAGAAAGAAGTACGACAATTAAGGAGGCAATATTAGAAAAATAGTATTAAACAGTTACAGGAACAAACAGTTGAAAAAGCAGATACCAAGGGGAACAGCGAGATAAGGAGTTCAGAATAATAAAAAGAAATGAAGAGTTTGCGTTTCCTCTGGCTCTCTCTTCAGCTCACTCACCTCCGGGTAAACTGACTTCATAGAGGTAAATCTCTTATAAATTGCATCAAACAACCCCTCTTTCATTCCAATTAGAGCACACAAACCCTCAAAGAAATATCTGTCGCTTAGCGCTGCCCCTCCCGCTGACCGCAGCAGAGGAATTAGAGCTGGGAGCTGCTGCTGCAGCAAATGGAATATGTACGATCTGCCGAAGAAAAGTGAATGAGAGAAGCCTGTGCAAACAACAGCAAATATAAATAATAATGCTTCTGCAAGAAAGTTACAGCGTGAAGCAAACACAGACAAATCTATATATATTCACAAGCCGTATTCACTCTAATGAGATCAAGAAAAAATAATGCAGGTAATGGCGAGCACAAGAATAACAGAAAATGCGATATGTCAGTACCTGCAGGGAACAGCTGTTGCTGAAACAGTTTCCACTGTCTGTACACCTCCGCATATGAGCGAAACGGGGGAAATCCAGCAGCTGCTGCCCTCCTATAGACGCTATTTTTATCACTGTTCCCTCCCCTATCCTCGTCACAGCTGCTGCTGCTGCTGCTGCTGCGGCTGCTGCTGTTGCTAATGGAGTCATCATAAACCCTTCCAAATCGGGTGCTTTGTGAGGCGTCTGCGGATGCAGCATCATGCTGCTTCCGGCCCTCTGGAGCTACTGCTGTCGTCTCTTGAGTGGTTGCAGCCGCTGTAGTTGATGCAGCAGGTGGCTGCATATCCAAGACCTCGAATGCGGCAGCAGCAGCAAGAGCCATTTGCTGCAGCACCTGCTGCAGCTCTTGCTGTTCTGATGATGTCTGGCACACATCAATCGCTTCCGGTAGAAGCGCCTCATCAGGAGGGTGTACATACACCCCAGGAGTGGCAGCAGCGGCCTTTGCTGCTGCAGCCCTTGCTGCCCATTCCTCTCGACTGATGGTGCTGTTGCTTGCCGCATCAGCAGCAGCAACAGCAGCAGCTGCTGCTGCTGCTGCATCAGCAGGTTGGTCTGCTTCTTGTGAAGGGATAATGGATTGTCTGACTAAGAATTTGTACAATTCGCTCCTTTTATCGTTGCTGATTTGCTGCAGCAGCTGCAGCAGCAGCTCCAGGACTGATGGCCTCTCGCTAGCCTCAGCCCATAGCGATGAAACGGAAGAAGAAACAGAAAATGCATCAGCACTGAAGGGAGGCAGCAGCGGGTAGGGGGGAGAAGGAGAGAAAGGAGGTGCAGGGCGCAGCACTGTCTCCAGTGAGGGGCTAGTGGGGCTCCAATTGGCGTCGTTGGGAGCATCAGCTTCCCCAAGTGTTGCTGCTGTTGCTGCTGCTGCTGCTGCAGCTGCTGGTGCAGCTGAAGGCGATCTTGCACTTACAGAGTCATCTTTAGAGCCCTCTACAGTCAGCTGCTCACGCTGCTGCTCCGGCTGCTGCTGCTGCTGCTGCAACCGGCTATTCATTGTTTGCAGGGGGCGCTGCTGTTTACTCTCATAGTGCTGAGCTGTATTAACTCGCCTCTACTTCACTCATGGCCAGCAGATCCTACTACTTCCAGAAGTTCCCTAGTCTCCGCCGTTGTTGCTATTGCTGCTGCTGCTGTTGCTGCTGCTGCTGTTGCTGCTGCTGCTGTTGCTGCTGCTGCTGTTGCTGCTGCTGCTGCTGCGTGGTAGCAGCAGCAGCAGCTGCGTTGCTTCACTGAAGTTGTACGACCCACTGGGGAGGCAGAAGACAACAGAGTCCGCTGAGAAGGTGTTGCTGGCTGCTCGAAGTAGAACGTCTTAAAGAATATGTTTATGTCTGTTTTTATTTATGTTTAAAGTAGAAGGTGTTTATGATTGCTGTCAAGGGGGCTGTTTACGCCGTTGCTGCTGGTTCCGCTCTCCTCCTCTTCCTAGAAGATATTTCTTATCATTGGTGCTGCCCTAGAGCAAGGAGTTGGTGAAAGATATAAGTACGCTGCATAAATTGATTGAATATGGGAATTAGATCTAGTAAACGACAGAAAAAGAAGAAGGCCTGTAAGTATGGCTAGAGAAGCATCGGCAACCCCTGAGTAAGGCTGCAGCAGATCTGCCTCGCCTCTCTCTACGCAGTATGAATATCTAATGAAAATAATGAATACTAAACAACAATATAAATAATAAAACAAAGAGAAACAAACAATTCAAGCCTTGCACCATGTTGGTGAGACTATGTTGGGGGCCCCCCTCATCGTACCCTGCAACGAGTTTCTACCATTCAAATTTTCATTCAACTTTCTGTTGTTTTAGTAAAGGTGCAGAGGCATCAGACGTCTATAACTCAATTAAACAATTATAAACCCACAACAAACTTTATATACGGGGTTCTGGGGGTCTATAGACAAATTCTGTTGTTGCTGTCCTTCAGATTAATAATTGCACAGCTATGACGACGGCTTCATACAGACAAACACCCGAATTAACACCGCCCCTGACAAGTTGTCAATCCTGTGCATTATCTGCCTTCTCTGCACTTTTGTATTTGAATTAGCTGTACCTACAATTTATATTTCTTCTGTCGATCGCCCTCTAAAAGTAGAAGACGCGGTGTGACTATTCTCATCGATGCTACTCGAGGACCGCCGGGAGCTGTAGTCGAGCAAACAAACGCAAAGAAATATTTCCTAAAAGGAGGGTGGCTTCCCCCCAATTATTTGGTATCCTCCGCAGATCTACCAGAGGGTCTGGCGCCGCTGGTGAGCGCGGATGGCCGCTCATGCATAATAACGCATTTTACTTCAACTCTTCTTGCAAGGAAACCCCATCATATGCGTGCATGTCTAAACCCCCTTTGGTTTATGCAATAACTCAGTAGGCAGCTGGTATACACCAACTCGACCTTCATTATGTAGGTAGCCAGACTGTACGAAACTAGAAATGTATACTAACTTTAGACAGATAATGATTCTTCTCTGCCCCGCTTTCCTCCAAGCAACATATGCTCTCGTATGCCTCGCCGCCAGACGAGGTATGGCGGAGGTATGGAAAAAGAGGAGGGCTCCAGTTGGGCCAGAACTCCCTTCAAAGATACGAAGGAAGCCAGCGGCATGCACTGCTGCTACTTCTATTTGTTGATGCGTCTAAGCGTCCTGCGAGTGTTTCGGTTGGTCAGCTACAGGATAACCCTCAACAATATCGCTGCCCTACGCAACAAACTGGGGCACCTGTTGTTACAGAAGTGCGAAGGTCTACCCCGGCTGTGGATGCAGCACCTCCTCCTGTTGTTCCTGATACAGCAAAAGTTGCAGCTTCTTAGCATGCCCAGTGGGTCCTGCACTACACGATGTATATGATGCCATTTCTATTCGTTTATTCTGCTGCATCTCTTGCTGCTAAGGTGTATTCAGAGCTGCGGAAGAAGTATCTTCCTCCGCTGTGTCTTCCGTGAGAACCGGCTCTTGCTTGTCAGTTGTATGGCTTTCTGATGTTGATGGAGATGATGGTGGTTTTGGTGGTGCAGCTGTTGCAGCTGATGCTGTACGCGTTGGCCGCATGGCCTTCAGGCAACCCGGGGCCTGCTACGGTTAATAGCAGAGCCCTTTGGCTTTACTTCGGTTTGGGCGTCGCCTTTTAATGTTGAGATCGCAACATTCAAAAAGTGCTGTGAACCTTCTCCGGTGCGCGATATCTGCGTGTGCGTAAAATATGGGTCTGATCAACAAAAAGAGGGAGGGGCAAAGCCCCGAAAAGTAGAAAAATAATGGCATTGTCGTAAGGGCTCCAATGTAGAATTCAATCGATAGCTTATCTTGTCTAAATTCTCTTAACTCTTTCATTGCCTATTCTCATGCCTACCTGAAGCTCAACCTACATCGCAGCGCACGTCATGAAGCTTCCTTAATTCGGGAGGGCTACGCAACAGCACCTTCAGAGATATAACCACCATTGTCAAGCCCGGCCTTCTAATAAACAGGATGTCAATAGCAACTGGTGCAGTTCAAGTTCATTGAGAAGATGAAACTATACTTTCAGAGAAATAAGATATTCCTCCACTGCCCCCCATCTCAGCACCTGCCACATCTGAATGTCTTTAAAGCTGTTTTCCCTCAAAAAGCAATTTCAGGTGCATAATATGCTGATACTGTGGTATCGCCAATCTGATTACGTACTCAGCCGTTAGTTCGTCCCCCCAAATTCTAGAAAGGATGTCAAAATATCCTTCCTCTTCTCTACTTTCAAAACGGCCTCACACCTATCAACGCTATACACCAGGTAGCCCAGCTGCTGAGGTGTTGTTCGATGCTCTCGCATGCCCCGATGGGAGATGCTGTACTACCAAACGTAACAAAACTCTTTGGTCTTCACCGAGGACCGTCGCGAACTGCGGTCGTGTCGGCGTAATTAAGAGTTCTCAAAATACAGCTCATTCCCCCGCCAGTATTCATACAGCCTGGGCGCAGGGTCCCAAGGGTATATATATATATATTACACACTTCATCATTTACTTTGCCCTTACTATAGAGCCTGCACGCAAGTGCAAGTAAATCTGCCATCTTCCAACACACCTACGTGCGAAATACTGCAAACACTACACCAAATACCCACGTAGTCCGAGCCGTCTTAGACAAAGGAAGATGAATGAAGGAGAATAACGCAGTGACACTGAATCGAGAACTCAGGAAAGAAAACAATAATGGAGTGAAGTGCTAAATATCGGTGGTAGAACAATCGAACAAAACCCAGATAGCCTTCACAAGGGGGACTGGGCAGTGCACCTGTACGCCACTACATGGGAAATGACAACAAAACAAATACATTAATTCATATTTTCCTAACACATTAGGCGAAAACATTTCCTTTCCCGTATCCACTTCAATATCGCCCCAGTTCAACACCAATCCAACCCCACCCCTTTTTTTTAGGATTTACGAGTCATCCACTCCCTCTTTTTTTGGGTTGCTCCTCTCTCGGAGAACAAACTTATTTATTCTAATTGAAAAAGTAAAACACAAAAACGAGCAGAGACTCTCAACTCTCTACAGGAGATCACCAATTTGCTAAGCCCTTGAGTAATGTGTCTGCTGGGGTTATGATGAAGAGTCTGCATGCGTACATGTGTTTGGTTTGAAATCTTTTACACTGTAAAACTTACTTAAAGTGGAAATATTAAGAATTAAACATGACGCATTCAGTATTTCATGCGTACAGACATGCGTTTATTTCTCCTTACACCTCTACTACTACGGGTCTACCGTCTCAAACGCATTACGTAGTTGGTTGTTTGTCTTAATACAAACAAACCGCGGGAATTCGAGCATCTTTTGTTTATTTGAAGTCTTTTTTGGTTTCAATCGGTACACTTCAGCAGTAGTCAACTGCCCTCTTGCTGGTTATCTCTGTGTTGCTTGTTTGATTTTCCCTACGCTCGACAGCTTTCCCTCCTCTTCGCAATGGAGGCGCCTGAGCTTCCAAGCAGAACAGAATTAGAAGAAGTTGGTAGAAGCCCTCAGAGCAGATTGAGACAAAAGAGGCCACTCTCGCGCATTCTTCCATCTGCTTCATCGAGTACCGGGACAACTCCAAGAAAGGCGCATCATCACCAAACCCATGAGGAGAATGGGGAAAGAACGGGTGTCGTTAGCCACGCATCTGCAGAACAACCAGCAGCAGAAGCAGCAGCACAAACTGCAGTGGCAGCAGCAGCAGCAGCAAGCTCATCGAGTTCTTCGTCCACTCCTTGGGATTTGTCTCTGAGCGAAGGTTTGGACTTCTGCAGAGATGCAGCTGCTCTTCTTCGGCAGCTTCTTCAGCGCATAGAATCGACAGGCCAGCAGCTGGCTACTGCAGCTGCTCTCCCTTCCACGAATGCGAGCAGCGCTGTAAAGGGAGATGAAGCGAGGGATGCCTCCGGTGGCAGTGAAGAGGGAAAAGGAGAGAGCAAACTTATTGAGCATCAACATTTACTTAAAGATGAAATCGACGATTGCCTTCTGCAAATCCAGTGAGCGCAAACTCTTCATAAATATAATGTATATAACATAATATATGCAGTTTACTCGTCCCTTCAGGCCGCCAATGTATTCATACTACGACGGCAACATTGTCTGCATCTATTTCATCGCACAAGACCAGCCATAATGTTTGTGATTATTTACCATTGAATAAAGAATATAAGTATACAGTGTACAATAAATAGTATTAACATTTAGTTATTACTGCTGCCATTGCAGGGAGCTCCGTCGGTTGCTGTTGTTTGCGCTCTCCTTAATAAAGTCAAATCCGCTTCTGAAAGACACTGAAAAAGAGGTGAGGCCGAAAGAGCAAAGGACTTGGGTTTGAACAGCAAGCCAACACGCTTTCATGTGCTTGAACAGCTCATACTCTCTTCGCAGAGATAAATCTTAGCAGCTGCTCTAGTGCTTATTTAAACCTTATAGCAGCAGCTGCTTGCAATGCTTGGGGCATTTATTTATTGCTTGAGCGCGTACTTTTGGTGTTGTCTCCTTCGATTCTCAGGCAGATGATGGAGGCCCAAGGGGAGAGGCGACGTTGAAGGCGATGAAGCTGTTTAGACTTGACTCGACAGCTGGTAAAGAAAGCTGCAACAAATGCTGTTGTTTCCGTTGCTTTTGCGTTGGTTTAGGTCTTAGGGTTTAGGGTTGAGATGTGCTGCGTTTGATTTGCATCTGATTTTGTGTGTCTGTTTGTATTTCTTTTGCGTCTTCTGCGCTGTATTTGCTGCGATACAGACCTGTGCGCTGAGCCTCTAGCGTCTTCTTTGGTGGGAGTGCTGAGTGGCGTTAGGAGGTTTATATCTGTTCTGGCCAGCCGAATCCACAATTTAGAGAACAGGTGAGTAGAGACAGTGAAGGAGATATATATAATAAATAATTAATGCTTACACATGCAACTGGAAGGGGGTATATAGCGCAGCGCTTGACAGATTGCGCATAGTGGCGTACAGGAACTGCTGCCCCCACTCAGCCTGAGCTATCTTGAGGGCCTGTTGTTGTTCTTCTCCTTGGCTTGGTTAGTGTATGTTGCTCGCTGTTGTTTGCTGTGTATTGTCCTTTTTGGTTGTCTGCTGCTGGCTGGCTGTTGTCAGTTGTGCTGTTTATTGGTACTGTCGGTGATCCTCTATTTTCGTTTATTCTTTCTTTGCGTTGTTGTCAACAGCGCCGCCGTTTGGCTGACCCACGGCAGCGAAATAATTCCTTATTTGAAGCATCTGCAGAACTCTCTTGAGGAGTTGCAGCAGCAGCAGGAGCAAACGACGGAAAAAGCAGAAGAAGTGAAGCAAAGAATCAACTTGAAATTGAAAGAGAGGGAATCTGTAAGCGCCTCTTCTCGTCACGCTTGGCCGTACTTTCTGGCTTTTTCTGTTTGTTTCTCTCCTCGGCGTATTAATAAGGCAGCTTTTTATTCGAAACTTGGGCTCATTATGCTGATTATTCAGTTTTGCGCTTCTTATCTTCAAATATCAGGTCAAATTTTGCCTGGAAAAAACCAAAGAGGAATTCCGGCAAGCGCGACTCGACTTGACGCGAGAAGAGTTGGAGAAGATACCAGCGCAAGAAAGAATGAGGCTGCTTGAGACCAAGTAAGCTGCAATATCAGCAGCAGTAGAAGCGATGGGCTTAATCAGGAGTAAAAGTTAAAGGGGTCGCAGCAGAGGCAGCAGAGTACACACAACATCACAAACACGGGAAGGAATAACTGAAACAGTTTCAGGGAAAGAAGGCTGTTTGTTTGTTTGTTTGCTTGCTTGCTTGTTTGTTCCTTGTTTGTTGTTTGCTGTTGGTTGTTTGTTGTTTGTTGCTTGTTGCCTGGCGTTTGCTGTTTGTTGTTTTTTTGTTATTTGTTGTTTGTTTGTTGCTGCTGCTGCTGCTTTTTGCTTTTATCTGTTTCCGCAGGCGAGAGACGCTTGACAGGGAGTTGAGGAGCCTCGCTGCATTTTCTCCCCTCTTTATTGTTGAAAGAGCCGCCAAATACATCACTCTTCAGTACAGAGTACGACAAGTTATTTAGGTTGCACCTTTTTGAATTCAGCTTGATCATTAGGTGTACGTATGCAGATTGTCGTATTGCTGCCTTCATGGAGTTGTTCATTAATAAGATTATATAAGAATATTCCAATATGTGTAGATATAGATATATTTTTGTATTTATGGCATTAAGTAATATATAATTTGGTTGATTAGAAAGTAGACCTTTAGTAAAGATATTTTTTCAACTATAGGACGTGATACTGTAGTTACAGGTAAAATTGAAGGAGGAAGAATTAAACGTAATGATGGTGTTAATGGATTTAATTCATTAAATACAGCTACTGTGATTAGAATAGAAATCATTGTGTCGAAGCGGCTTCACGCGTCGATGTTTGCTTTCTTTTCTGTTTTGCTTTTCGCAATGCTTGCAGCCTGAGGGTTCTCCTATTGATTACGAGATATCTATAGAAGGCCTCGATCTGTCTTTTGCACAAGGCAGCAGTCGTTTGTCTCGCTTCTTCTCAGTGCATGTACAGCCCCCCAACGACCGCGTCCGTCGTCTGCTTGAGAGTGGAATCGGCGAACTTTTGCAGAAACTCTCAGCGAAGAAGCACATGCCCCAGCAGCAGCAGCAGACGCGAGAGCAAACGAGAGGGAGACAGACAACTGATGGGAGCGTCGAAGCTGCAGGCGATAAAGTAGTTGAGTACATCGCCGCGATTCTCATCAAGGTGAGTTTGAAGCTCATATCATACCCTTTTGCAACACCCAAAATTATCAGGTTATAAGCAAACAGACAAATTCGGGTCTTTTCTGTGGATATGCAGACGCTGAGCTCATCATTTACAACGCCCAGTACTGCGCCGCGCTATTTAGCCCTTATCCCTCCGCGCTCCTCAGCGCAAGCAATTCAGACGAACTAACAAACTTGTTCGCAGTTGCTTGTAACGACACAGCCTTCGCTAGCTCCCTCTGTAGGCGCTGCGGGCGTCCGACTGCAGAAAACGCTTGGCTTTAATTCTTTTTTTGGCACTCGTGCAAGAAAGATAAAGATACTAAACGATGGAGATACGAATGTGAATGTTGTTAGTACGAGGGCCATACAGACACTCCCAAAGAGGAAAAGCCGAACGTCGCTGCAAACAACTGCGCGGTTGGTATATTATTTACGCGTTCTGAGAAAGCTGGGTCGCAGTGAGCAAAACGGGATTCTTAGGGAAAGATGTGCCTTTGAAATGCTCTAGCTTAGTACGTACGCATTCAGTCGGTTTCAGGGAATGCAGAAGGGAATCTGTACGTACACCAGACAACAAGCTCGCGACGACGAATCAATTTGCTCTCCCACGCTGGGGAAGTGCTAGCTGCTTGAAAAAGAAGCACTGTAGCAGTAGTAAGAGCCTTCAGCTACGACCATGAGACCCCTCAGAACTTGGAGCGTCGCCGCAGCAGCGGCGGTTTGGTGGCTGCTTCCCGTTTCAGGATTCATGTGCTCACCCGAGGTGGTTTCAAGCAAATTTGAATATGTGATTATTATTTCTATTAATAATGGCCCTCTAAGATTTGTCAGCGGTGCTGCAAGCCGGTCCAGACCGGTACGAAAACCGTCTGAATAGTTTTTATTGCTCTGCATGTTATCTTCTGTCCCCCGATGCGTCTGTAAACGCGTAGGATGCGAAGCAGGTAGATATTAATACGGATACGAGGTGCATTTCGGTTGCTTTAAAACAAGCTGAAAGCAGCATTTTTGCAGACAGAACAGGGATTTCTTGTCTCCGGTAGGATGCCTATTCCAATCTCAACGCTTTTCTTGTTATTGTACTGTCCTGCAGACCACACCTACTGTATGGAGTGCAACTGTGACAGTCCAACCACAGGTGCGCTCTTGTACATTTCCCGAAAAACGTTGAGTGTTCATTGGTTAACTGCAGGCTGCGGATGGTGAGTTGTGTCTTTGCGTCCTGCTGCAGTTGATGGAGCTAAAGGGTTTGTAGGCTCGCTTACGGCGCCGGGAGAATTCAATGCACTTCTTGTCAGTTTCTGCGGGCTATAACGAGTAAGATTTACACCTAAAGAAATGCATCTTAATTATTTCTACAGTTGTTTTATATGGGAAATACAGAAAGACTACCAGGGGCTGAGGTGTCGGGCTGCGGCACGGTGGCTCTCAACGGCGAAGTGGTTTACAACAATGTCCTGAGTGAGGGTCTCATTCTCTTCCATCTTGTTTCTTTCTTGAGAAAAAGCATTCCTTTGTTTAATTGCTGTGTAGCCTACACAGGTGCTCATTAGCAGCATGCAGGCGAGCAATGCCATTCGTCATACCGGCGGTTTCCGGCTTGTGAACCTCTGGGTGGCCGCGGCTATACAAGAAGACTTATGTTCATTTTCTGCGCTGCTCCCTCTTATAAAATCCCCCACCCTTTCCTACCAACCGAAATACCGAAGTGAATATCTGTCTGTGATGTTTGGTCCGGCCGAGGAGAGCCAGACGTCCACTACTTTTTCTAACCAACAGAACTGCTCTGCAGAAAAACCGAAATAAACTTTATTTGCCGTTTAACTTGGGTTTCCAGTTGGAATTCTCAAGAAGGCAGGTCAAAGTGAGCTCCAGGGGTTCTGTCTTCCAGCTGACCACTGAACCTGCTGGTCTACCAGCACACCTAAATTGCACGTTCAGATATATGCAGCATATTAAATAAGATGAATCGAAATTATTTCAATACGTCTAGCTATGGTGCATCATTATTGAGTGGAAGGCTCCTGCAACAGTCGTCAACTGATTCATTCTTGCAGCGGGCGCGTGTGGCTTTTTGGTTAAGGGGCATTACGCAGCCTTTTTTGCAAATCCTCCCAATCGTTACACACCACTTGATTTTAAATAGTTTTTCTGTCTGAATATTGACCATTCTACACTTGTTCTGGTGGACTCGACCCAGATCTGTGCTGGGACATTTCTGCACTCGCGTGGCTTACGACGGGCAATTTGGAGGGTTGGCTTGGATATTGCACTTCAACAAAAAAACGACACCTGTAAAAATTGAGTTAAATTAAGTGCTATACAATTACTTTTGCCATTCTTTTTCTTCTATCTCCTCGCGTTTTTCTGCATCTTACTTGGCTGCAAGTGACCCTCCAGCCAGACGCACGCAAGCTGCAGAGCCAGCATCGAACCAGCGCATTTGTGCCCGAGAGGTCCATGAAATTCTCCCCTTGGTTTTAACCTCATTTTTTCCTTCTGTTTTTAAACATATTGCTATTAAAATCTATTGCCTGAAGCGCATGGGCTGCATCGTTTTCCCGCCTGGACCCGCAGACTTCAAGATGAACGCCAGCACCGCAGATCTGAGTTGGCTTCCCGGCGATGCCGACGGTAAGTAGAAACAAATCTTTTCAGTTTTATTCTTTATATACTTCTCATAACGTTTACTGTGGGGGCGCTGAACCCTGAACAGTCGAAGGTCTCATCTGTTGCAAGCATCACCTCTGCACAGACAGCGACACCAGCGGGCTTAGAGACTGCAGAGATTCTCCCACACTAATACCCCACTGCCTCAACAGGCATTGCCTTCTGCACCTTGTGCGCTCTTTGAGAGGAGAGCTAGGGTCAATTCGCCACTCACCATGATATAGTTTCTCCATGGTTTTTTCGTGCGCCCGCGCTGGGTTTGCAAGAAGAGGACATACACCAAACACAGCCAAATCCAGAGACTTTCCGCAATACAAAACGGCATATTGCTCACTTCCTCACCACTTTATGTTTCTGTTAAGGTTTGGGAGGGCCACTGCACTCTTGCGCGAGTAGCGTTTCTTGTGTGATCTTCAGAGCAGCTTGCGCTCGGGTTGCGCATCGTCTCGAACGCCTACAAGAGTCGCGTACAAACTGCAGAAACAGAAATAAGGCAACTAAAATCTCAGCTCGCAGAGCGAGGGGAGCAGGTAAGGGGGTGGGAAAGAGTAGTCTTGTTTCAAGCTTGCTTGCGTAACGGCGTGCAAACGGATGCTTTCTCAAGGAGCACTCCTGAGTACAAGCATAGGCATAAAGGTGCTGTCCTGCTTTGTCTTTGTCTTCAGATGACGCTCTTGCAAAAGAAATACAGCGCGTTGGAAGTCCAACTGATCGAACAAACACAACGAGGAAATCAATTAGTAGAGGAAAACAAACAACTGCTGGCAACGACGCGCAAAGTAAACGCCACAGTGCTGCCTCCCCTCACAGCTAGCAGTTTTAGGTTGGGCATAACGCCAAAGGACAAACAAACAAGTGCCTGAAACCTGTCTTTCTCTACGCCTCTGCAGCTGCAAAAAGATATTCAACGTTTGGAAAATCTTAAGAAAGCGGTGCTCACTTCAATTCAAGAAGACCGCCCAGAAGCGGATGACTCGAGTCCAGTAAGCCGAGATCTTCAAAAACCGCCCTTAGACATTAAAATGTATACTTAGGAACTTAAAACAGCAGTGCCTGAGCAGCGTTGCTAAGGAGTAAGGGAAGTAATTTGTTTGCTCTTTCTGTGAAGTCGAACAAACTAGGGGCATTTCATGCACTGAGACGGACAAATCTCGTTACACATGCCTAATGGGTGCATTTTATTTCTGCATTTGTGCCTGTCTGTCGAAGAGGAGCTCGGAGATGGTTTCGGGTGTACATATATGTATATTTGGTATTGCTTGTTATGTTTCAGTTTGCAGCAGCAGACGCTACTTTCCAGATGACGGCAAGGAGGACTGTCGCTGGTCAGACAAACTCACCCCCCAACAGTACGAATCATTTTTATGAGAAAACACTTCCCTTGCTCCCCTGAAACATCGAAGAACTCTGTCCTTCGTAGACATATGAAGAGAAATCACATTTTGTTTATTTCTGCAGAGCTCGGCTCTATGGAAGATATCGGCCTTAAGGGCATGAGGCTGGACTTTCGTCGCGCAGGCCCCAACAACGGAACCGTGTGAGGCAGGAAATGGGCTGGCAAATTAACTAGATAATTACACAAGACTGCGTTCCTTAAACCCAACGATAATACGGACCCCGCGATATTGAGTTCAATTTAGCATAGATGCATTCCTCTGGCACTCAAAATGAGGCGATTCTGTTACCTTTTTTCTTCAACGGTGCTGGAGGAACCCGCCACCGCATACGAAATGAGAAATAGGAATACACAATTGCAAAATGATCAGATGTGAGGTGCGCTCATTGTGCTATGTTTGCCTCTTTTCGACGCTGCAGCTTGACACCGCATGACGACCCAACTGGCAACGCCGACGGTCGCGCTTTCTTCAGGTTAGAAAAATGCAACAGCAGTCTCAGATACGCGTAGGTTAAACAAGTTTTTAGCATATCCACGATAGAGCAAATGGGTGGCTGCGATATTGTGACCTCAGAGCCGCACGCAGTCGTCTTTCTTTCGAAACATTTAACGCCTTCCTGGCCAGCATCAAGAGACTGAACAATCAACAGCAAGACAGAGAGGAAACCCTTAAAACCGCTGAGCGCCTTTTCGGTGAGTCAGCGCCCCTATTTCTCTCTATCTATCGATGCGGAAGCTACAGCGACCCCAAAACAGCTGAAAACACAGGAATGCGCAGCCAGAGAGACAGCGCACCTGGTCGACGCAAGTAGAATCGCTGCTCATTTGGAAACGCGGTGTCTTGTGTCATTTCTGTGAACAGGAGAGGCGAATGCCGACCTGTTTGAAGACTTTAAGGCTCTCTTGACTCGACATGCCTAAATGCGTAGGCCTGCATACAGGTTTAAAAATGTCTACCTCAATATAGGTATATTTATTTATTTATTTATTGGTGAAATTGTATTCCCGATAATTGGGGTGAGAGCCTCGCAGCAGTATCGAGGTGTCTGACGTCCTAAAGGCGTCGTATCGAGGACTTTTTTAATGACGTCTTAAGCAATTTATTTTTTTGCTTGTACTAGACAGGAGTAAAGTAACCTAGATTGTGAAACGTCAGATAGTGCACTACCTTTTTACACTGTCGGACTAGAAGTCTTGACGCCGCTGATACACCTACGATGAGGCGCCGCTAACTTGGCTCATACCGCTCCGGCGGTCCAGTTGGGCTGCGAACGTGATCATGATAATGCTGTACTGGGCGTGACTAAGGTGAACTGAGTTGAACTAAACTGGGTGGCAATGGTAGAAAGTGCTCAGTCGCCAGACGTTGACGACAGACGTCCGGCGCAACGCATTCACATGAATGCACAGTAAGGAAAGTCTCGACGCTTGCGACCTCCGTGGAAACTGCAATTTACAGGAGAAGTGTTCTCCACAAAACCATTCTTGTTTGATTCCCGTGAGCCAGCACGTAGGAAAAAACCGTTTGCGTTTTTGTATGCACTTTCTCCATCGAACGGGTCGAGGCATCTCTGCTCAAGGAGAGTTCTTCGCATGAGGCAAATAATAATTATAGACACGCAGGCATAAGTCAGAGACGGCGGGGAAGCCCTCCCAGGGTACTTCTTCCCTTTCCCTTCAGCATCTGTTTCTGTAGTTGACGTGCCTTACGCTTGGTCAGTATACATGGAGCATTGCCTCCAGCGGCCTGAAAAAAGAAACACCATCACGAAGGTCAACGATTAAATGCCGTTTCCCTACTCATAATCTGACTGTACAGCCTATCTGAGCACAAATGCGCCAACTTAGCAGCTATTTTTGCCTACCTGAGAATCCCCTCCGCCTTCAAGTACCTCCAGCAGATCTGCGTCTTGTTCGAGCTCACGCAATACATCAATGGGGTCCATTTGGTTGCGCTCGCTTTCGCAGTTGCCGGCTTTACTCTCAACGCCACCTAGTCCAGCTGAACATGGCATGGCTACCTTTGAAGTGTCTGCTTCTGCGATTCGCGTTTCTACAGAGCTTCGGACTGCTGATAGAAAATGTTCAATATTGGCAGTTTCTTCGTCCTCGCCAAAAACATCCCCCTTGGGCAAATGACACCTCCGGAGTCGGCCTGTCGTGAAGTCTCTCAAAATCAGCTTCGCCGCGCGGTACATATCCAACTGCCCTCCCTTACCTCCAGAAACAAAGTGACGATGACTGGCTACTGCTCCCAGCACATGCAAAGCCTCGATACGCTCAAATGGCTTTGCAGGGCCATTCGTTTTTCGCCCGCCCCCACTTTCCCCGCCGTACTGAGAAGCTTTGTATGCAGCTCGATAGGCGTCGGCGGTTATTCCGTAATGCTGAATTAAAGTGTACGGAATCGCGTCGCATATCAGCTGCACAGACGGGAGGTAATTCCCACTGAGACAGACAGAGAGCAACACAACGCAAAGCCTGCATGCAGCGACCCTACCTGAACAACGAGAAACCCAGGGAGCTTAAAAGAAGTTAACCAACACGTTTGCATCTCCCAAGCTACACAGCGTGTGCACATTCCCGTGTGTTGTCAACAACATATTTGTGCCAGTGGCAAATGGCCCCTAGAATCTCCACTGTAAGAATGGGATATGCAAATAGCACTATAAGAGAAGAGGGTACATCTGCCTGACCGCATCTCGTCGACTGGAACAACTCCATTCAACACCAGGATGTGCTTAGATGCCACTGCCTTTGGAAAAACGAGGCCTGCGAACGCAACCACATCGGAAACCATCGTCTGGGCTTGCTAATGTACAAAGGAAAGCAACGAGGCTGCAACGGGCAGGCGCCCTCCTACTGAAGGAAACTCAGGGGCTGCACCACTGACCTGGACAATCACAAAGAACGATGCCTCTACCCTTCAGGGGGATCGTCTGTAGTCTGCGGGTTTTGCCAGGTTGTTGCGAGACGGAAACTTTCTTCATGTTCAACAGTGCGTTTATCAAAGAGCTTTTGCCCACATTAGGGTAGCCAACTGTCCCAACTACGAAATCCTCTGAAGATTCCACATCTCCATCTGCGTGCCGTTTCGAGAAGAACTCATCCCGATACTTTTGTAGAAGCTTCACCAGCAAATCGCAGCTAATCACATCCTTATGGACATCTACTGCTGTCTCCCCCGGTGGAGCGTGAGACGCCGACTTCAGCTTCGGTGTCGTTTCATCAGTCTCTTGCAGTACATCGGCGTCTTCCCTCTTCAGCTGTTCTTCCGCCCCTTCATCGCTGTGCGTGCTGCCTTGAAGCTGCCCCTGGGCCGTTCGTTCGCATTGCTCCAGTTCACGAAGTGCCGAAAAGAAGACCGCTTCCACCCCATTTTCTAGAAAATACTGCGACCATTCTTCCCGAACCGCTGGCGGCAAAAGATCCGACTTGTTAATGACCAAAATAACCTGGAAAACAGAAAGGTCACAAACCCGATTTTGCTTTCATTAGGATGGACAGCACTGCCCCAGGGTTTTACGCCCTGGGTAGGTGCTGCTACCCAGGGTACCGCTGAATGCAGTATCCCTATACACAAGCGCTGATCGAACATATTGTGCAGGCGAATATGGGACTTACTCGTTTGTTAGCAGAGACCTCTTTGACATATTTTTCGAGGTCTATGCAACGGAAGAACATCGGAGATCTCCCGTCAACAATTTGCAGGACCAAATCAGACCGTTCAATTACACGCCACAACTGCCTCCAGACTTCGATGTTCTTTTCATAGGGAGTTAAGACGACGCCTTCGTCTTCCATATTCGCTAGCTTTCGCCTCCACTGCAGAAACCCGTCCAGTTCGACTTCATCCAACTCTGCAGCAGTTCTCGGGAATCGAGGGGCGGCTGGATCAGCAGAGGAATCAGGTGCAGCAGTTTCTTCACCTTCAGATATCGCAGAGCTGCTTAAGGAAGAATGCGAAGCGCTGATTGCATCGTCTCCACTTCCATCGGTTTCCGATTCGATGGATTCCTCCAGCTCGTGCCTCGCGCCTTCACTGACAGTCCCTGCGGAGTCAGCAGCTTCCCACTGGTCCTCTGAGTCAGTGCTCGTAATATCCTCAGCTTCAAGTTTCAGTGCGGCCTCAGTTGCAGAGATCGCCAGCCGACTCGGTCGTTTGTTGGACTTCATCACCTTCGGCTTCTGATACCGACGGTGAAGTTCGTCCCGTTGCTGTCGCACGAACTCAACGTTGTGAATTGTGGCTTCTTCCACCTTACCCGCTAAGAGCAAGTTAACTCTTGCCCTGTTTCTTCGCCTCCGATTCCTCGTTGCCTGGCTCATGCCTCCTGTCGCATGGTCTTTGCTGTCTGCCCCTCTGCATTCTTCGGCCATTCTCCGTGAAAACAAAACCGGCCGCCGTGGGATTGGTACTTCGGTCCCCTCAATGATACAGTCTGCTCTGTTTCCGCTGCCTTTAGTCGAGCTTTTAGCAAGTACGACAGGAGCTGTTGGCTCCTGCAGAAGGCGCGCCGCGTATCTGTCGACTGTAAAAGTGTCCTGCGCTGCAAGAGACGTGCTGATGTACTCGTCCAATCCGCTGCGTTCTATGATAGAACGCAAATGCTGCTCTGAGTGCTTCGACTGGAAGCTCCCTTTGGCCGGATTTGCCGCAGACAGTGCACCTGAAAGGAACTCCAAAGTCCTGTGACGGGAAATAGAGACTCCAAGGGCAACCCCAGCGGGTGCAGATGCGAGCACCGCTCTCCCCCTTTCCCCCTCCTCCTTCAAAGACTGAACGAAAGCATGGTGACTTTGCACTTTTTCCGCCTGTTTCCGAAGGCATTGGTGCAGGACGGCCGAGCCAATACCACCGCTCTTGTTGCGCCCCTTCCCACCCTGCTTCCTACCAGGAGGGGGCATGGACACAGCCTGCTATTCCTTCAGCCACAAAAAAGTAAAGAAATACGAAAAAACTCAACACTTGAGTGCTCGACGATGCAGAAGACCACAGCTGCAATGCGGTGCGGGGACAGAGGAAAGCAGCGGCAACAGATAGAAAATTCCCTCACGGGTTGGCATAGCAGAAGGATGCGTGCGTAGTTGTTACCCATATTACACGAGGGTAAACACCAATATGAAGTGTTTTTCAACGATATCGTACAACGGCTTCTTCACTTGCTCGGCGCATGCAGGGCTGCAAAGAAGACCGCCGGAGACACTGGAAGGCTTGCTTTGATGGTTGCACCAATATACTATGAGGAATATAGTGCAAAGTTATTGTAAATCCGTTACATTTAAACAGCCGGGGGCTGTTGTGAAGGTCTGTGTCCGTAACATTCTCCAGGACCACCGTTGCATAGTTTGCCGCTGGCCTCCGCGATTTAAGTGAGCAGATTAACCAGAGCTTTCCTACCCCGTTTATAGTGTTCTTTGCCAGTCATCATTATTATTATTCTAATTTGTGAGTCAATTACGCATTAGGATCGGATTCGTGAAGTGTCCACCGCTTGGCTCTGCTTGCAGGCCGACTCAGCCGCCTGAAGATGGGTCAGCAGGCGTGTAAGCCCCTCCCTAGGATAATGCGGAAGGCGGGAGACCCAATGAACGTCTTCAGTGCGTCTGCAGATTGCAGTTTCCTACATTTTCTTCTACTTGGAGATCTCCAATACCGGAAGCTCGGCCGCAGCATAGTTGAGCTTGCAGCACGATAAGCAGTCGACGTGGAGGACGAACATTGCAATAGGCCTTTTTTGCTGTCATTCCACGTGTGTCTTCTGCATATTGCTTCGGTGGCTGGCAGACTGCGTCTTCTGCATGCATTTCGTTTGTGTGGCCCATTCCATTTCAGACCTGCCATCAGTTCACCAAGAAATTATATACCCCACGCACAAACGCACTCTCAACTTTTCCGTCTGCAGATGCTGGCAGTCGAGTGAGTTCGGCAAATACCTTTTTTTCTGGAGCTGCATTTTGTTGTGCTTCCTCCACGGGCCCCTGTCAGCTCAGCTGAATTCAGCCATTCACGTGGTTCTTCAGTAGTCCGAGTTGTGTTTTTTCTCTTTGTGATCTCGTTGCTATCAGCCAAATTTCCCATATGCGACAACTCGCACAAGGTGCTGCAGAAGCAAGGGTGCAACTGTGGTGAGGCAATTCTCCTCTGTCACTGCGTGCCGCGCTGGCGTATTCTTTTGCTTATTCTTGCATCTGCATTCTGCCTATGGTTTTAAAACCTTCTGAGCAATAACGGGGGAGCAGCAGCAGTTATCACTTCAAATTCCAGCTTCCCGACCACGATGCAGAAGGTGGGGGGTTGTTTGCCTGCCGTGCACTGCAGGCCCAGCCATGCTAGAAGTGCGCCACGCGCCCAGTGTTACGGAGCCTCGAGAGTTCAGAAGTACTTCTGAAAGTAGCAAAGACAAGTTGTCAACGGGCTCCTTATTTGGCGGTGCAGCATCTGTGGCTGCTGCTGTTGCAGGTTAGCTAGTGGTTGGTTGCTCGAGCGAGCATTTATAGATGCCTTTTTCTCACAGATAGTGTATGTGTGCTTCTCTGAATCGGCTTTTTGTCGCTCATTATTATCTGTTGTATGACCGGAGTTGATGCTTTCAGAGACTGCACATGTATTACTGCCTCGTGTCTGCCCTGAGAGCTCGTGTTCTTGAGTGCGTGGAATGCATTCCTTTCTGCCAGTGTAGAGCACGATGTTTTCGCGTGACATGCGTGCGCGTACTTAGCCCACAGCGCAGACATACAAGCACATGCATTTGATTTTTCTTCGTTTGGTCAGCTGCTTGCCTCCACCAGATGTAACTCTCTCCGAAGTACTTGGCGCTAAGCATGTTTGCCGTCGCAAATTGCGCATATAATCGTACCCACCTTTCGGCTGCGTGCTACTCTTCTTGACACATCAGGCAACAAAAATTCGGTAATGAATAAGCCAATGAGCCACCTTTTCTGTGTGTGCAGCTGGAGGCCACGCATTAGGATACTTCTGACGTTGAAATGAGCACGGGTAATTTAACAAGAACAGTGTGGGAGCTGAACGCCTTGGCAGAATTACTCCCTGAACTCCCTGAATTCAAGCATCAGTCTCTCTGGTTTTAGTCAGTGCTTAAAGTAGTTCATTTTCACCTAAATGAACACCTGGATCTTGAACACCAGCACTGTTTGCGGATTTGAGGCTTGCAGTGCTGGACTGCATGCCCTTATTGAAGTCCGGCGTTTTAATGTTCATTCGGACCTTGCATGCAGTATATCTTGTCTTACATGAGTCGACCGAATCGAGAGCGCATGTAGCGCTCAACGCTGACTTTCGTGAGATTCGTGCCGGGGCATGCTGGTGGTTCTTCGCATGTGCGCATTATTTGCGGTGTCACCCGGAAGCTGCGTACGGTCAAGTCCGAGTCAGTTTATCTCCTGTTCTCTGTTCCTCCTACGACGAAGTCGAGCGTAGTGAGGTGAATGGGACACAGCAGACTCCCCGTCTCCGAACCGCTTAGAAAGCGCCATTTTTAATGTGTTGCATGCAACAACGTGCAGTCCGTAGCATTCATCGCTGCTGATTATTTTGAAACGGAGCATTCCTCTTCAAACCGACCAACGCTGAGAGGAAGTCATCTTTACATGGAAGGGGGGGCGAAAGGAGCTACCTAACACAGCGAAAGAAAAACTTCAGGAACTCACCGGAGATCGAAGCCCTTGAAAACACACCTCACACTGCCAAGGACTACACGTGCACCCAGAAAACTGCTCCTTAGCTGGCGGGCAGCGTTGGCGTTTTGCCTGTAGCTGCCTTTTGGAGGGGCAGTGCTCATCTGAGATGCCTTCGGCATCTATGGGGGAGATGTGTTCGATTCCTCTGCAATACTGGACACATCAGGAATTAGCCATGGGCTGATTGCACAAGTGGTGCGTAATGCTTTGGGAGCTGCAGTATCTAGCATGCTTGGCCTTAGTTCCCATATCTCCTCCTCCCTTTTGTAGAGGCCAACGCCAGAACTTTGACCTGTACGCGGCACCTTCGGAGAGGGAGCTACTTCATGCGAAGGCACCTCGCCGTTACAGCTTCCAAACACTGTTTGCACAGTTTGAAGAGGCTGGACTTTACTCACATGATGCTGCCCCGTTTTTCAGGACTAGCTCGCTAAAGTTTCTAAATGCGCAGAGCATGCCCATTTTGTTGTCACAGCGAAGCATACAATCCATGCTTGTGCTGTTGTCTTCGGCGGTGGTTGACGACACAGAGGATTGGCTCCTACCGTATTCAGTGTGCTATCTGTTCAATTTGTTTATCCTTGTGAGTTTCCACGGGAAAGCCAAGAATTCTTTGCCCATGAGTTCAGAAACAGGCGATGGATGCCCAAGGCTGCTCCAGCGCAACGCACAGAAACGCATTATGTGCTCGTCTGTTCCACCTTCCTACAAGTTCCAAGTTGCTCATCAGAATCACAGCATAATTAGCGTGTAGTTGATGTAATCAACAAGAAACACCAAAACAACAGCAGAGACAAGCACAGTTGTGCATTTCCATGTGTACGGTGGAAGGGCCTGGTTACAGGGGCGATAATGAACAAGACAAGAGAATTAGTCATGTCTCAAGCTCCGCATACCATCAGGCTACTGAAAACCGCATCTGCAAAACGTATGCGCGTTGTTGTCCATGAGAGAGAGAGTCATTCAGCCCCGTTTCACAAGAGGCCCCCCGTAGCCGCCTGAGCGGAGATGCACTCGATAGTTGGGTTTCCCAGTAGCGTGACTTATTTGGAAAGCTATAATTCATAATTTCGAATGAGTATGTGTGCATAACAATGGCCTTGCTCTGGCTAGCCCACCTTAGAGCCCCACTTCGTGGGGTCTCTTCCGGGGGCGTCAGGTTCGAAGGGGCATCCAGGCCGATTTGTTCATTTCACCGGTTAGCTCATCAAACGGGTTGCATCACTGCTGGCCAGATTCGAGGTTACGCGAATATGACTGATGGATGGGGGTTCAAGAAGGTTCAGTACACGAAGTACCGCATCACGAAGCCGTGGACTACAGACACACAGTTCGACGATCTGCTCCTTTCCGAACCCTCAAGGTCGGTCAGATATGCTTTTTGTGTGCGTTGGCTTCAAATGCGTGTGGTACTGGAGTCAATGGCCAGTGGGTGTTGTGTACATTCTGCTCTGGCGGCTCTCTTGGAGTTTCCGTACTCTTGGTGTTGTCAAGCCAACCATGCTTGCCGCACAAACAACATTACGCTTTACTCACGTATATTTTGTAAGGACTCATTGTGCTCAGTAGAGACGTTCTTTATTGGACTGCCGTAGGGACACCCTTGCCAAGTTCACCAAAGAAGCTCCGCTCTTTCTCCGGTTTTTAAAGCTCATTACAGACGTGGAGAACAGGCCTCGTGCGTTCATTGAATTTGCAAAGAGGTATATCACACAAGGGCATCTGCTCATTGCTGCATAATTGAACATATTTACAGGGAATTAGTTTATCCTCTCCATTTAACATTCTTTGCAGTTTGTCCCTGCATACTTTGAATCATAAATATCTTGTCAGCATTACGCAGGCGTATTCCGTATCAGTCATGTGAAATAAATGATGATCACGTGCAATTGCGCGCCTAGCTTTCCTTGAGGTTGAGGCTGTGTGGCACAGATGCGAGAACGGTCTCGTAGTGGAGAAGGACGTTTTCATAACAAAAGAAGAACTTATGAAATGTATCTGGGAGAACGGGTACTCACAGAACGAAATGAACGCATTTGAATTTGCATTTCCAGCTGATTACAAATTCCATTATCCCGGTGAGGTCCTCTTGCCAGTCAGCCGGCGGAAAGTTTTACTCAAGGCAGAAGCTGAGGCGTAGTTTTTCTCAGCATCGGAGTCCCACTTACTGTTTGTACTGTTTGTGCTGATGCAGAGCTGGCGGTGTTGTTTGACTTGCCGGAAGAGGACTGTTACAAGTACTGCATTCGTCAGAGGGCAAAGACACCCGAGAAGCTCGTGGAAATCAAATATGAGAAACCAAAGAACCTTGTGAGCCCCATCACACAGCAGACACTTTCACCTCTCACGCGTTGTTAAGTTGAATCATAATTGAATGCATACAATTAGTGTGAAGGTTTGAGATGCGCTTGAGCAGCTGTCAAGCTACGGACTTTGCTTCCTCGGCGTCTGGTATGGCTTCTCGAACCAAGTGCTGAGCAATGCATGGTTCTATTCCAAGACTTTTCCTTTCGGCGCAGTGTTTTATATGCTGGCGTCTTACTTCTAGTGAGCACCGCCAAGGCATTAGACGGACTGATGCATCACCGGCAGCCACACGTGAAAGCAAATAAGCACTAGAGACTACTAAGAAGTCACGTCGTCGTTACGTGATTGTAATTGCAGCCGGAACATACGTGAGTACTTGTGGAAGGAAGAAAAGACGATGATCGAGGGCGCAAAGGACCGAAAAAGCGCCGGTGAGGAACTGGTGCACAGGCAGTTGAAGAAATATGCAAATGATGCTCGTTGCCTTGAGTACGTTTCTTCGTTTAAAGATGAAGTTCAGCAGCAGCTAGCTGATTACCATGTAGCTCTGTTAGAGCAAATGAGGCAAAGAATGATGGAGCGAATTACAAGCAAGCTCAATGCGATTCAGCAAGCAGAGAAGGCAATCCAGGGCTCCCTTCAAGAGGTCATCGTGCGAGAGCTTGCTGAATCTTTCCAAAGGAAATTCGCAACCGACGCGAAGCTGCAGGATTTAGCGCTGAAAGCTGCAATTGAGGGCATCGCCGGGGAGTCTCCTTCTTGCGTACGTCAAAAGGGCAATCCGAAAAAATGTTTCAAGTGCTAACGAGCTAGCAGTTTTAAATACCTGCTCCATCGCTATGGAAAGTTTGTTTGTTGCACGTTGTATGATGTATTCGCAAATCGACACGTACGCAGTTAGACAGGTATTCGAGCAGTTTGTTTATTGCACTTTGTATGATATATTGGCACGCGTAAGCAGTTAGACAGGTATCCGAGTACGCATGGATGGATGGACCTCGACACTAAAGCTTATCTGTGTGTGTGTATGTGTGCGTTGTATGCGAAAAGGATATACCTGAGTATTGCAATGTGCGTGCATGCAGTAATGCATACCTCAGCGTGTTTGTGTGCGTTCGTAGTAGTAGGCAGTAAATGAATGGGTATTGGTGTGCATGTTTATATATCTGTTCTGGTGCGCAAAAGTATTTTATGCATGCATGTATTTTATACGTGGGGATTCATCTGTGTAGGTATGTTTCTTTACTTTCGTTCCGTTGCATGTTTGCGTGCGAATGCATGCATGCTTCGTATTTGTGCATGTATGGATTCCCCTGGACACTGAAGCTTATCTGTGTGTGCGTATGCTTGTGTGTACGTGTGGATAGGTGAACGTATTCATTTTCGTGTATGTGCGCGCATATACTAACGTTTAATATGCCTTTGCACTTGTGTGCATCTGCGGGTACACCTAGGTTACATAATACGGTGGTGAAGACAAACGCACATGCGCTATGCGTACTTGCTCACTGTGTGCGCGTGTGCGTATGCTTGAATACCTGTGTGGGTATTTAGCTGTGCGCGCACTGAGGTGTCATGCGCTTATTTTCAGGATCCTGTAGGGGCTCACTTCATTGAGTCTTTGAAGGAACTTGAAAATGCTGATATTGCAAATTCGAAGTCAACGGGCGGTGGATCTGTTGTCGAAAGAGTTTCTGCGGTATTTCAACGTCGTGAACAGGAATTTCTTCAGTTGTTTACCGTCAGGTAAAGCGTACATGACAGACGCGGTCGTGCATTGGCGTGCTCAGCAGCTGCAGAATAGTCTTTGTCAAAATTGACCAAAATGGAGCGTGTTCGTGTTGGGTGCTTCTGAGTGCAGCCCGGAAGAAGCCAACGAGGTGAAGCAGCTCGTTGGGAAGTGCAAGTCTGGCGATGAATATGACTTTTCCAAGCTGTCGGAAAAGGACGCGGCGAGGTTGGACGCCCTTCAGCTGAACATCCTCGATCGGTGAGCTGTCTAGCTGAATGTCTGTGCAGAATTTGGGGCAACATATATAGCTTTTCTCGAGATTATCCATTCCCCTCTGTTGTCTCCTCAGCGTTGGATACGCGACCGTCTTGGAGGACGACGTCAAACCTCTCAAAGCAATTGGTCCCTCTGGTGAAGCCCTTGTTGAACACGTTAACAATCAGGTGAGCACTGACCAAATGCGCAGTTTACTTGAACGAGGCTAGAGGATGGGGGAGTGATACGGGAAACTTGTGTCTTTCTCTAGCGTCTCGGTTTTCCTTGAGAATAGCAGAAATTTGCACTTAACACACGGGTATTCCTTCAATGCTCCGCATGACTGACTACTGAAAATTTCGTTGAAAGATGACTTGGAGAACGTGACTGGCATTCATGAGGGAGTTGCGGGTGACCTATATTATGTACTTACATGAAACTCGCTATTTTGACAGGTGGGCAAGAGGCTTCCGCCCATGCTGGCTTGCAGAAATCCCAAGGAAGGTGAACGCCTTTTGTGGTGTGACTTCAGCTAGCAATGGCGAAGGAGAAGATTCGAAATGCTAGGTTAACATCATTTGCGAGGTCATTCGCATAATGTTAAGCTGTGCGTTAGGCCTTGCACGCATATGGCCAGCGCATGGCTGCGACTTCGCCGCTTTCGAGCAGGCTGAAGTAGTATATGTGACCACATTTCGTATTTAATTACTTTGTATTACGACTGAGCGTCCGTTCACCGTGCGCATCGTAACCAGTGGATGCTCAAGTTGGGGCAGCCTCTTTCTCGAGCTCCGGCGGGGAATTGATTTCGCAATCACTCCTTTGTTACGTTCCACAGCAAATGGAAACACTAGTTTAGTATTTAGGGAGTATCTGCATTGCACTATGACTGAAGATCTCGAAAGTGGCGTTAATTTTAGTAGCAAGATTAGTGAGCGGGCTGTCTGCAACGAATTCAGCTTGCAACAGGCTGCGGTGTCTTGACACCGTCCTCGGACGTCTGAGCTGAACACCCAAGACCGGCACTTCACAAAGAAACGCGAATCGGAACATTTGTTGCCGATTTAGCCAGAGGCAAATTTGCATCCAGAAGAACTCACCTCTCAGGCAGCTAATAGAAATGAGAGGAACTGCCGTGCGGACCGCCTTTGGCGGCCTCGAGGAGGTTCAAGCCGTGAGTAGCATAGAGCTTTTCTTCTGCACAATTGAGTTTAATATGTGGATTCCAGGCTGCAGGCACAGGGTAGGATAAACGAGTCCCCTTTTACGTGGAACAGCTGCCCATTTTGTTGGTTGCACGACCCTCAGGGAAACCAGTGATGGGTTGCTTCCGCATTTGGCGGATTCGCATTTCTGGAAGAGGCTTTCTTTCACTCAATTCGTCATGTAAGCTGAATTATATTGTCAATGCACACACGTACGCGTTCCTCCAACAAGATACCACTCAGATATCTTGTCGGTTTCTCGGAGGGGCTCACACATCTCGCCGCCCTTGCTATATACTACATGCTCAAGGATGATCTAGGTAAATAAGCTCTGGAATGAAAACGCACTCGATGGAGTCAAGGAAATTCTGGTTCAGGTTTGAGTCCTGCGGAAGTCTCAGCTTTGTTCATTGCCCCCGCCCTTCCTTGGGTCTTCAAGTAAGTTCGCGCGCATATCTAGCTTTTGATCCCATACAAACAATTGTCCTACACAGGCCAATTTTCGCATTCATTTCGGATTCATATCCTCTCTACGGCTCCCGGAGAAAGCCTTACATGATCGCCTTCAGTTTGTTGGAAGGACTGGGCTTCATCATGTTGGGAACATTCCCCACACACGTTCGTATACTAATCTATTCGAACATTTTCGGAACGAAGCACCATTGCGTTGTTTTCAGGTCTTGACGGCTTTGATTTCCCTCTTTACAATATCCGTAAGCGCTCAACGTAAAACATGACCTGAGTGCATTGCCCAAACTTGGCTCTCCAGATTTCCGCAGCTTTCTGCTCAGCGGTGGCTGAAGCACTAGTTGTCGAGACTACTGCCGGACGATCAATGGACCAAGTAAGTTCTTCCACTGAGGGAGTCCTTAGCGGCATTTTTGAGCACTTCGCTTCTTCAGAGCGCAGAAAACGTGTCTGATTTCATAACTGCCAAAGCAGTTGGAAGTCTCATTGTTGCCTACCTGTCGGGCTACTTGCTCGAGAAGACTTCCAAGCAAAGTAAGATAAGTACAAAACTCTATTTGTGAATAGTTACAATATTCCGTCGCTCTTCAGGCATTTTTCTGGCCACTTCAATATTCCCACTCTTCATTGCGTTTATCACCTTCTTCATGACTGATGAGGGCGGAGCACCTTCATACGATATAAAAACACAGCTGCGAATGCTCATGGAATTCCTTAAGCAATGTAAGTAGGGCGTGACTACGATTAAACGTCTAAAGCGTCCCATCGCCGCTCAGCCGTCATCTGGGGACCCGCACTCTACATTTTCGCGTACATGGCTGGGCCCGACTATGATGATGCCCTATTCTTCTATTTCACCAACAAGCTCGGCTTTTCTCCCACCTTCATGGGAACCCTAAGGTTAGTTTGTGGCACGATGGTCGCGTAAACAATTTGGGCCATACTTTGGATTTCCAGATTCACCTACGGTATCGCTGCTCTGGTTGGAGTTGTGATGTACCGCACTTTCTTCAAGAGCACCGGCTTCCGCAAAACCCTGCTCGCGACGATCTTAGTAGCTGTGCCTATTTACCTTTCACCAAGTAGGCAAATATTTGACAGGCTCTCTTCTAATGTACGACTCATCTGTCTTGCAGTCATTCTTACTACTGGATTCAACAGAACCCTTGGCATTAGCAATAAGGCGTTCGTCTTGAGTGGAGGCTTCCTTATTGAGGCCGTAAGTTGGATGCGTGAACCCAAACCAGGCATATATTCCAATATTCTTTCTGGCAGACTGCTGAAATTCAACTGCTTCCACTCCTGGTTCTGACAGCCTCTATCTGCCCCCCCGGTACTAGCGATCACCGCAGCTGCCCTCAAACATGCGTCATAATTGATTTCTAACAGGTCTTGAGGGCAGTGTCTATGCCATGATGATGTCTGTTAGGAACTCGGGAGCAATGGTTTCCCGCGGGATCAGTGCAATCCTAACCTACATGGCAGGAATTACTTCCAGCAATTTCACTCATCTGACTGGATACATCATGCTTTGCGGGGCAAGCTTGTAAGTAACTGCCAATCGTGCATAAGAACAACACATTTCACCGCTTCGGAAATTTATACAGACTCATCCCGCTCATTTTCTTGGAATATGTGTAAGTTTTTACCAACCACTATACGAAAGCAAAACGAAACCTGAATTTGTAATGTATCTCAGGCCCGACGGTATGAGCATTAATATGGAAGCTTTACACACGACACTCTTCCAAGGTCGTTTTCACAGATGCCGAGGTGCAAAGGGTGAAGCAGTATCACGACTCGCTGTACGAGAAGATTCGCCAGCAGACCGCTTGAGACAACTAGCATTTGTCTTGCATGGTCTGGATTGTGCGTCTTCACACACAACTATCATTGTTACAATTCTATTGAAATCCGCTTTCGATGGCGTTGAGCATTCTTGTATCCCTGTTGTCTGTCTTGCGAACCTGATTTTACACGCAGCGGCAAAGTGTAGCAAGTGCAAGTCCCCATCGAACCGTAGTAGTACAACGATACTAGATCGACAAGGTTTTATTCTTACGCACCTTGTAGATGCGGACAACCCAGTTTTCTGAGGTGTAGACCTCCTGGAAATGCTTCAACTGAATATCCGTCGTGTTCACTTTTGTCTTCCTGGCAAAGTCGAAGCCCTTAGTGGCTTTGCCGAAGTGCTGATAGCTGAGCTTATAGAGCAGGCTTCTTGTCAAAGCATCTGGAGCATCTCGTCCCACGGTAAACTGAGCACATGACATTTCCTGGGCTAGTTATCCTGGTGCGTTGAATGGCCCCGACTAGTCGTTGCTGCGGTTACGCATATACGTCCTTCCATTTACCTGTCCTCTGGGACCAAGGAAAGCAGACTGTTGAAGATTAGGGTACACGCCAGATGCTATGCGAATCATCCAAATAAGCTTGTTGAGATCATCGCTTGCAAATCGCGCCATGCCACCGAATACTACCTACGCACCACCAAGCATTCTGCATTCGTAGGACTGTTTGTCAATCGGCTTTGCAATCAAAGCCTTACTAGGGCATTCGCTTACAAAAACATAATCCACATCCAAGTCCTGAGCGATTGCAAAAGCTTCGGGCTCATCTGAAGCAAATGCCTGAGAAATGCGCATAGGCGAATGGAATTTCACTATACACTGAGAGTTCTAAAGTGGCCATTCAGCAGGCGGGGAGAAAAACCCCACCAGATGTACCGAGGAAACTTAAGGAAACTTGCAGTCTTTCCTTAGCACATCTACTTCAGGATTCGACAAAATGTAGCTCATCTTCGACACCATCTCCGCGAATTAGTGCTTAATTGAGCATACCAGTCCAACTGTTGCAATGTGGGTGCTGTTCCAGGTATTGTTGTCCACAAAAACTGTTCGGTTCCCGACTTCAGAAACTTGATATCCATAATCCCACCTGCATCCGAACACCTTTTAGTGCTGGTTTCATAAGCTAGTACCAAGGGAAAAGGGTAAATCTAGAAGACAGGACCACGGACAGCCAAGCAACTGTGCAAACACCACCATAGATAAATTCGGAAGTGGCCTGTGACAAACGTTTCGGGGTCTCTTAGCCACAACAGACCAGGCCATAATCCGCGCCTTCGGGTGGGTATTTTGACGAAGCCAGTTGTAGGCTTCACGGAAATCATCAGGTTTAGGCGTGTTCGTGCGGCCGATGGGGCCTCCTGTGATGCAGAATTCCTCGACGCATGTCATTAAATGATACCCTTTCTGAATCGTTAGAAATGCTTCGAATCTAGAGCTGCGTGCAGTTCTAGGACTTGATGTTCTGGGCAGTGCAAGAGTGCCAATGTACTGCAGCTGATCCCCCCCCACCCCCCGCCCCTCCCCTGGCACTCCGATCGGACGAACCCATGAAAATGTTCCTGTTGGAAAAGATGGTAGACGACATCCACGTGCAGTGGACGACATACTGAGCCGCGCGCGCAACACAAAAGTCGAGCGAACAGCACTGTAAGTAGTTCCACATACGCAAGCACAATAAATTGCTTCTACGGATGTAAATCCTTACCATAACACAAAGCCAAAAGAATGCCAGTAGCACGGGGAAAGCAACAGTAAAGGGAAGCGTAAAGCCACCCAACTTTGCGGTCTTGATGCTAGCCTGCCAAACGCAAGAAATGCAGTTCTTCAAAGAATCATTAGTGCCATCACAGCCTATGCAGAGTTCGCGGTAAGCGCCTTCATTCATCAAGAAGGCTCACCGACGTCTGCGGCGGGCATTTGTCTTTCGAACGAACCCTAGGTAAGTGGGAAACAATTCCAGTTACGATCACAGCTGCTCCAATCCCAGCGAGCATTGATGCGGCGGGGGAGAGAACAAGCATCAACCTAATCATGACAGCTGCAAACACCGTAGGCACCCTTTGCAACGCAACTGCTTGAGTCGCTCGTCCGCGCACTCAGAGTCACACAGCTTTACTGTGTTATTATCATGAACGCACATCGAAAGGAACATACATGGGAGTGCCCAGTGAGGACCGGACTTCCATCCTTTGAAAGTAAGCTAGCACGCTAGGGCGTCTTCTCACCTGAAAAGTAGCATGCTAGGACACCATACAGGCCAATGAAAAACAGGCCATCTCCTCGTCGAAGAGATATTATTAATCCTAGGGGAGCAACGAATATTACCATGTGGAGGTCAAGAAAGTACGTTGACCAAGTCGTCGGCTGGTGCTCTGATACAGAAGCTACAATAGGAATATGCTTGCTCGCGTAAGTTGGGTCCAGCAGTGTTAGAGACCTCGGTGACCAAGCAGTTTTACCCTGTGACGAGCAAAAGCACAAGTGGAAGGCACCACTCTTGCAGGGACCCCCTGTGCAAAAAGGAAGGTCTCCACCGTCAGTGTCAGAGGAAGGGCGTGCATCCACCAAGCGCCTTACCGTAAGAGCTAGAATCGCGATAACGACAAACACTAGAGCCCCCGCTAACCCGAAGACCCATATTTGAAGATGATTCACGGATGCCTTCGGAAGTAACGCTGAAATGCAATGAACTATCGCAAATGCAGTGACAAGCACGAATACTCCGTGGCTTGCCATGTGCTCTGAGCTCCAAAGTGGGGTAAGATTCAAGAAGGGAACATTCACACATAATGCAGTGATGATAACGTAGAATACAACATATGCCAGCTGGTGCCTAGGGGTCATTAACCCAAGCACGCAAAGGGCGACCATGTGAACAGCTATTGCATTGATCAAGAACACATAACCGCCCCAAGCTGTAACCATGTATGCAGACGGTATAGCTGCTAGCAGAGCTGAGAGCATTGTTCCCCTCTTGACCGCTCGGGTCCACATGTAGAATCCCAACAGCATTGCAAATATTGCGATGCACTCGTTGTCATAGGACCCCACTAATGAAGTCTTAACGTAGGCAGGCGAGATTCCAACGAACAGGGAGGAGAACAGTCCCGCAGTTCGAGATCCACTGGCGTGCTTGGCGAAGCAGTGAACCACAAAGGCTGTCAAGCAAGAAAACGCTGGTGGGAGATAGATAGATACATCAGATATGCTGACTAAAAAGCCAAAAAAGCTGAGGACCTTATGGATGAAGTAGGAGGTTGTCATCAACCCTGGGAACAGAGTCTGTCCAACTGGGCGGCCAAGCGGATACCAACTCGCTGCGCCGCACGCCACGCAGCGCTCAAACTCATTTGTGTGCTGTCTAGTCGACCAGGACCGCTTTAGCACGAGAAATTACGACCTGTTTGTGCTGTTCGAATCGTTGGTGCACTCGCAAAGGGCGGGACAGGGACGAACTCACCATCATCATACCAGTTCCAGAACTCGCGGAAGCCTTCACTGGCAAGGTACTTGGTTGTGCGGTGATTGAAATACGGGTCGAAGTCGTAGATGGTTGCTTCACCGCGGATAGTTGGGAATAGGCGCATAGACAGACAAAGGAACATAATCAGTGCAAGGCATACGGCCTCAATGAGTTTACCCCATCTATTTCCAGCCTCCAGGACCTATGTGTAAGCAATCACAAGGCCTACACACTGGCATGAAAGGCTCAACAGCGAAACAGTGCCACGCCTATCTGACCACCGAGAAAAGCGACCACACCGCTACAACACTTCTGCAATTAAATAAGTCGAGGCAAAAACTAGGATTCAACAAATTTCTATTCTATCTAATGGCGCGTTCATACACACATGTGCCTACTTTACATGCCGTGGAGCTCAAGAAGAGGCGGCGAAGGACAGTTTCAAGAGACAAACTCGTCTCTGGAGCAATAGCAGCGGCTTTCGTTACATTCGAGCCTTCCGATTCAACTGTCATCTTCGGCAGTGGCATTTAGTTCTCGGTGCAGCGTTCCTTATGTCCAAGGCGTACACGTATTGGGGGGTTCTTGCTGCTCCATAAAATGGGCCAGGCGAGGCTCCAACTCGTTCAGTCAACGAAGCTGTTCTCCTCTACAGAGTCACAAAATCTCTTCTTCGGCATAATGCATGAGTTCTCTGGCGTTTTCCCCTTCTAAGCGAAGCTGCGCGAGCCCTTGCCAACCTTAGTCTGTAGACGGGTGGGTTTTACGTGCTGGCGAGCTGCGTCAGATCCAAAGGCGAAGACCTAAGGAATATTCGTTCCAATTGTTGCACTTGCTGTTTATATGTGCACACTTTTCATTTTGTCTTCCAGCTCGATGCGCTTGGTAGCCACAGAACCTTCCCACTGGGGGGAGCAAGACATGTCGGCGCAGCACAAAACCATGCTCTGCTTTACTTTGTCCTTCCTTCAAAGGGCAGAATTCACAGAAGCAACATGAAGAATTTAGAGAGTTTGTTGATTATTGATATTATCGTTGTTTGAAGTCATTGCATGCTACATGGCAAGCGGAAAGCCTGGCTGGTACCAGTTCAAGCAGGGCCCCGGCGGGCCCCGCGGAATCGAACGCGCGATACTGATAAAGCAAGGGCCATCTCCTGGGAGAAAAATACGCCTCTTAACAACATTATTGCAAAGTTAATGGCTGTACGCGTTCTGCCTCGCATAGCTTCATTCTTGCGAGCTGTGAGGGAGGACTCGCGTGTCCTATCACGGCCCACTGAGTTGCAAGGGGATCGTTGCCTATTGTTGTACAACACCAGGCAGTGTTTCCTTCCTAATGTTTCCTCTTTCCCCTCCGTCATGCAGCCCTCCCCCAATACCGCTTATTTGCGTGTGCGCGCCCAGAAGCCTACACGCCTTGCTCTGGCAAACGTTTGAATGCGAGCGAGTTAGCTCACGCAGCAGGCGGCAGCGCTTGAGTTATGTATTCTGCGATACAAATGAGGTAAGTCTGATGCATAGCTATCGAGACTTTTTCGAGGACAGAGATGTACGGGAAGTGCAGGTAAAGTAGTTACGTGCGTGGCTAGTAGCCAAGCAGCTAAAGTGCACACAGGAGGTTTTTGGTTGAAAAGAGCCTGTAATACTGCGCCGCTCCAATGAGCATGTAATTTCTTTGCTTAGGCTTGTCAAACCCCACCGCAGGATGGGGTTTGCGACGACACTACCAAATCCGGCACGGCAGAGCCGTCCATTCCAGTGTCTGGCACCACACCCCGGCTAGACTCTACCAGCCCACTCCCCAGTCGGGACCAGTGCTCTCAGCCTGTGGGCGATCAGTCAGAAGGTGGCTCAATGAGCAGTGACAAGTGCGTCCCCGCAAGAGTTTTATTTCCAGCGGAGGCTCCAGGCGCAAAGCGGGAGAAGGGCTCCCAACGTAAGAAGATAATATCAGTAGGCCAGCTTTTGAACAAAGTAAGTCACCTTGCTCATCTTTTAGGAGACACCGAAGGGACGTGCTTGGTATTATTTTATGCCTTAAATATCCCTCGCTGTCCATTGCGTGCGTAATGGCGTCCGCAGGGATTTCTCAAGCATGCATGGATGCAGCGGATGCGTACGGAGAGGCCTTCTTGTCTCATTTTGTCTTTCGATTGGAGGAGGGTTTATGAGACCAAAGACTTCTGTTGTGGTTGCTGCGCTGCTTCTGTTACACCTTCCCTGGATGTTTCCAGTCATTCACCTTGTTCGGCATCCCGACCGTGCTGTACTCGCGATGGCTGCGCGCGCCGAATGGAAACTCAACAAGAAGATTTTTCAAGCCCAGCACATCTGGCGCCGCCTCATACACCTGCTCATGAAGACAATATGAGGCCAGCTTTGCCGAATGCCTCAGGTTCAGAGTCACCCTGTTCAGTCCCCGCGACGACGGGTTCGAGGACACCTGGTAGCTGCAGCGAGGCCCGCGCCGGCTCCCGAGGAAGCGCAGTTGCAGTTGCTGAGGCAGAAGCAATGGCTACCATTGAGTTTTTCAGGGAGAGGCTCCAGAGGCGCATTGTTGTTCCCAAGATTGTGAGTACAACGTTGTTCACACCGCATTTCTTTTTCGCTTGAACGGACTGGAGACTAGAGGGTCGCGCCGCCGATAGCCCTGCCTTCTGGATTTTGGCAGGCGACTGGGGGGCCAGTCAACTGTGTTGGTCTTTTCTTTTTCAGATAGTTTTCGTCATTCTGCCGACAGGAATGGAAGATCCGCAGTCAGCCGTTGGCTTTTTGAAGAAACTCAATCCAGCAGACATTGCTGCAATCTTCATAACGTGCGGCGTGGATGACTTGAAGGCTAAACTGGAAAAGCTGGAACAGGTGATAAATCAGTATTTGCTTTTCGAGCCGTACTGCGGCCTCGTCCTTGAAAATAAGCCCTTGGGTCTATTTCCTTTAGCCCTCAGATTTTCTGGAAACGGGCAGCTTGTCCTGCGGGTGTTGCTGTTGGCCCAGGTTTCCTTCGATTGCAGCGTGGAATATTACGAAACTGAAGCTCGGCGGTATAAAAAGCAGACGCAAGTGACTTTTAAAGGGGATCGTTCACAAACAAGCGCATTCCATGTGTACCAGGTTTGTGTCTGCCTGAAACTGTTTCTGTTAATTGTTGCTTTTCGAGCCTGTGCATCTTAGTCGCGGTTTTAGGTCGATGGCTGCATGTGAAAGCTGCTGAGCGCGATCCCTGTGCGTGGAACCCAATGCTGGTGTGAACAGACCAGGTGTCTAATAAAGGCTGGATACATGCTGGAATTTGCACAACAACCTCACGCCGCTATGAAGAGTTATATCACTGCTTGGCAGTTCCTAACCAGCTACTCACAAATGGCCCCTGCCCTTGAACGGATGACGGTTTGCAATTTAATAAGCGTGCGCATGTACCCGATGTACTTTAAAGCAAAAGAGCCGTCTAAGGCAGCCCATCACGCCCGCGAGCACCGCGCAGTTCTACGGGAAAATATTCCAGAGTCACCGCTACAGGGCTACTTGCTTCCGCTGTGGCTAGCCCAGCTGCATCAGCTGCTTGCCCAGTTGTGCGAAGATGCCATGCGGACGAGCCCTCCGTCGCTCGACACCCGTGACGTGTGGCAGCTAGCCGGCTTTCACTATCAAGCTGCTGCTAGGTACCTCCAGCACGTCAGAGCCTGGATCAGGACGGCAAAGGAAGTTCACCCTCCACCGTCCATGAAAGGTGGACTCGGGGTTCCATCTGAGTGGATTGGGCAGCCAGATACCCTCCAGGTGCGCGAACTTCGTCCTGCTTCCACGTAGCATCATTTCTAGGGTTTTGGCTTGCTGAAAGGAGCAAACATTGGTGTGTAACTGCCCCATTTGCATACCTTATGATGCTTCGATGCCTGTGGGCATGCCGTATTTGCACAGCATGGAACGGGCGCCTTCGCAACCTCAAACTCGCAAGACCCTGAAGCGGCTGCTGCTGCAGCGCAAGAAGAAGTATTCCTTCGATTTATATTCTTCTTCAATGAGGCGCAAGTGCTCACGCATGCGACACACTTGCTGTCCAAGGCTCATATTGCCTATAAGGTTGGTTCTGCGCGTGCAATCCAACAATGCAAATGCACTGTTGCACGTATTCTCACTGAAGAGAACCCGTAAAACGAACGCCTGCTCAATTTTAACAACGAGTTGCGGAATTGGTACTGTGCCTTTTGCAGCTCGTTGGGGGATACCGTAGTTGTCCTATTTTGGCATGCGAGCTCGCCGACGCCATGTTTGACGGCCACCGGATGATGACGGCACGTCAGCTGTACTTCACCCTGGCTACGGCCTTTGCATCGTATAAGTACGGCCGCCATAAAACGTGGCATCTTGAAGCAGTGTCTGCACCGTTCAACACTGCGGAGCCTGTAGCCCTGCAGCAGGCTGTTGATGTTGAATGCCGCGAACACCCTAAAAATGAGAAGGGCGCTTCCATGCCAGCAGCAATAGACGGAGACTCTGGAAATCCTGAGCTTTTTTTAGCGGCTCAGACGACTGCGCCTGCAAGGCAACCCGAAACTTTCAGCCAATCTGTCGCTGATGAGCCGCATCTGCCTGCTGGCAGTCGCCTGCGTCTTTCTGGGGCTGGGAATTGCACAGGGTGAGCAAGGCTGCATGTGCATCACCCATCGAGTGCGTTTATCGTTTGGTGTACGTGGGTGTGTTTGCTTGTTTTTGTGTATTTTCTTCTGTTGCTGTGTATGTGTATAGGTGTGGTCTGTATATCTATTTACTTATGTATATCTATCTGTATCCATCTACTAATTTATCTATATATGCATATTATCTGTGTTTACTATTGCTCTTGTTAATACATACCTATGTATATTTGCATGTTTGTATCTACCTATCTATCTATATGCATATATATGCATATATATGTGTATGTATGTAAATTTATATTTCCACAAGGATGGTGCACACAGTGAGCACGCCAGTACTTCATAGTCTCTTCTAGCCTATCAGCTCTCCAAGCGGATTGTGGTTTATGCTGCAGGTGGTGGCCTTTGTATCGGTACGTGCTGGCGAGACTTACTCTGTGTGTTTCTCTCTTACTGTCAATCGAGCCGCCGGCCTTTTTGCATAAGATTGCGCGGGTTGACTCGCGGTTCAGCTCGGCAGTTGAAGATTCCGTTCGGTCTCTGCCTGGTTCTGTGGACGTGCAACAGCCTGCAATGGCAGCTTGTTCAGCGGATTCTTTTGTTGCATCTGCGGCGACAACTACTGGAGGGGTTCAATCAGATGCTGAGAACTGCCATATAGCCCTAAAGGCATCATTCGAGATTCTGAACATTCTTGCCTTGCGGGAAGATATCGAGGATCCTGATGCCTCAAAGAGAAAGCAAATGTACGGATATGTAGAAATGCTCCTGCCTTTGTTGAGACGCTTCGAGCAGCCTTGTGGCGCCAGCCAATGGATATTCCATTTGGATCTGCACGCGGTAGTGGTGTGGACAGACTTCGCCTCTGAGTTGCATCGTGAGCAAATGGTTTCAGACACTGGCTTGTTTGTGAGGCAGAGGGTTTCCGTGCCTCAGGCAGGCTCTGAAAGTGCTTCCGTGTGGGAAGGTGTGAAAATTGGCAGAGTATGTTTCCAGCACCGGCTGGGGTTTGACATCTGTGTCTGGAACTTCTCGGAGCTTGTAACGAGCACCGGGAAGAAGGCAAAGTGTCTCCTGGCTACCTCGAAAGACTGTCCGCAAGTAACTGCCGTAGAGGAAGGCGGCCGTGCATTTCCAGCGGAATGTGCGTCTGTCACACTGCCTCATGGAGAGCTCTGCTACTGTGACTTGTATCTGGCCCCCCAGGAGCTTAGAGATGTCAGCGGCTCAACTGTACGCCGCCTGCACCTGTCCTGGGCTTTATGTCCGTCGGTTTGCTTCCAGCTGGCTACTTTATGCTGCTTAGAGTGGGAGGTGTCCCGCCTTCCTGGCAAAGCATTTCCTGCATTTAGCTTTTCAGAGCCCCGGGCGGTTCCTGACGGCTGTTGGCCTTCTCCGATTCGCCGGGCTATTCGTTTTCACAAGCTATGCATTCCTCCGGCACCCCTTTATGATGTTGAACGCCCCGGACTAGCTGAGCCGTTTTTGCCTTCTGTGTGCTTATCAAAAGTACGTCAGTACAAACCTCTGTTGCTCATTACAATGTGCTGGTTACTATCTACGCGGACACTGCAGCACCGTTCTGCGGGACTTGTGAGGAGCAGCTTCTGCCCAGTTCTTAGTCGACTCAGTCACCATCTTGTGTGTTTTCTGTGTCCACCGGCCAGGATTCCTTCCAGCTCGATACGATTGAAGACTACCCGTCAAAGTGCATCTGTGTTGGTGAGCTTGCTCCATACACAGTGCGGCTAACTATTAAGCAGGATTGGAGTGAATGCAAATTTAGTATTGGTGTGCAGTGTACGGCGCAAGAATCTGGGGGTGAGAATGACCGGACAGTTGACACCTCCATCCTTTTGGAGGATGAATTTGAGTCTTATCTGATGGAATTGGATGAAAGAAAAGAGCTTGGTGGTGATGCATGTCAATCTAGAAATGCGGTGGAGCAAATGCAAACAAACGGAAGCATAGACTTGCCTACCTACCCGAGACTCTTGCGAGTCCCTACTAATGGATCGCCCTGCTTGCCATTTACAGTAGGGAGAGATGGCCCAGGGCTGGAATGTACAAGTACGTACTCCATATTAATTGTGTTTCACGTTGCAGACGCTCCATGGCGCGATGGGCCTGCTACAGAATGGTAGTACCGGCTCACTCAGCTTCTACCTGTTATGTACGCTGTCACCCTAAGGAGGCCATGCCGAGTTATTGCGACTGTGTTGTATGCAGAAGAAAGGGAGGCGACTGGTGGGCGGGAACGCGTGGGTTCTCCGTGGGTATTTGACCCTCGGGACTACCGCGACAAGCTTTCTATTGCTGAGTGGGGAGCGCTTGTAGGGGAGGAAGGGCAGGACACTGATCGTGACGAGCTCACTGCGCCCGAAGCCTTTAAGATTATTTGTATCCCCATGTTCATCCGTCTGCGTCGCTCGGGGAGTTTCGATATTCGTGTTACTGTTGATATTAACCTTGATGACATTATTCAAAGGTTGACAACCACCAGTGCTGTGGACTGCCAACGTTGTTTGAACTTATCCTCGGGCTTGATATCCCTCCCTTCAACAGGTGCTGGCGGGCCTTCTGAAGCTCGCCGGGTGAACGTCGCGAATGTTTCCGACATTGCTCTTCAACTAACAGACGTAAAGTTCTGTGGTTTTGAGGGTCAGGACTTCTCCTCCGGCACTTCAGGTAGGGCTTCATTCGCCTACACACTTACTGGACGTTAATAATTATTCCCATGGTACAGAGGGGTCCTATTTGGCTGCTGCCAACGTAAATTGATGTTTGGCCCATGTTTCTGTATTCAGCGTGCTAGAGCTCACGAACATGTGTGTCTGCACCGCCTTAGCAGTAGTGTAATGCCGTGTGCGTCCTCGGCTGTCATGCATACTCTGCAGAGAAGTCTTTAGGCCGTCAACTGTCCTTCATCACTCCAGAGCTTCCGTGTACTCTGCTTCCGGGCGAATCTTGGTCAGGGATTTCGAAGACCTTTACTTCATCAGAACAGGCCGCAGTACGTAATACCATCCTTGAATGTCTTCTCGTCGTGCGCGCCACATTATGTTGTGGTAGAAAAGAGGGCTAATTGCTTTGCTCATTGTAGATGTGTGAGGCTCAGGTCCTTTTGAAGTACACCCGAACTGCTAACTACCTGCCATTCCCGTTCTGTTGCGCTGACCCCGGCATAAAAGAGAACATGACTATTGTACGTTTCTTGGATGATCCACCACAGCGACTGCATAGTGTTCTTATTGGACAGAATATTTTAGCTTCGCGTGCATTTGACGGTTCTATCGATGAAGTTGCTGTTCAGTACTGACGGTCTGTTCGGCGCTGCTTACTGCTGTGTGTAACCTACAGACACGCCTTCCAGCAATAGTAAAGCCGTTGTGGGTGCGCTGCCTGCATATTAACCTGGCTCATCCAGTTACCTCTGCGGTTGGTGTCCCGTTCGCGTTTTCGGCAGCTCTTGAAAATCTGAGCCGAGAGGCCATGGTGAGCCCCAGCTCCATTGGCTGACTTTCCTTAGATTCGCTTAGGCGCATTAAAAGTGACACATTTAGAAGGAACGTTCATGAGTGTGGCTGCGCAGGAACTGGTTGTACGTCTGCTGTACCCTCGTGCGGAAAGCCTGACCGTGGAGGACTCAGCAGACTGCAGTTCAGTGGCAATTCCGTCTGATTGTCCATTTATGATTGGTGGGCAAATTAAGACGCAGGTCATCATCCTTCCTCTTAGCACAAAGTCTCTTCATTGGACTCTTGTTCCCTCCAGGTGAGCCCTAGCTTCCGCATTCCTGTATTATGTTGAGGCGATCGCGGTTGCCACCGGAAATCCTATCGGATTTCCGGTGGGTCAGCGTCTTATGCGTGTGGGCGCACTTATGAACTCAGGCCAGGATCGTTCAGGCTACCAACTGTTCTGGTTGAGGGTACATCGAAGTCAGTAAACTCAGGATTGCAGAAGGGAACGCCGTTCACAACTGGTTCAGGCAGTCTCAACCCCACTAATTGGGAATGTGCTTCCAACCCGGCTCACGTCCTTGTCTTCTCAAGATAACGTGCTTGCTGAGTTGTAGTTTGGTATTTAAAAATGATTCACGGTTGCGAGCAGGATATCTTTATTTGCTAGCTTCCGCAGTGTCGCTGGCTTAGCGACGAGCCCCCCCTGCAAGTTTTGTGTACTTTGGGCACCCCGAAATTTGCAGTAAGCTACCAAACCCCAAAGCAACTGCCTTGGCCTGCATGTAGAATATTTACCCAACTGCATGATCCCTCCTATGCTTCGCAGCTATCTGTGTATTTCTATTAGTGCCGGGGCGCGTCATACATTGGCGGCTGCTCTGCTCCAGTTGGACACTCATGCAGCAAAATCTAGTATAAGGCGTTCTAATATTTCCCTGCCAAATAACCAGCGGCACCTTGCACTTGAAGTTGTTGACTAACCGATGATCTACGTCGCACCTAAGCTAGTCTGATATCAGCCAATGGCAAAACTTGACGATAGTAGTGGTCGTGTGTAGGACTTCCCGTGAATGGCAGAATGCAGGTACGTCATGCAAATGCCGAACTTGGAAAATCACGCGTTAAACGGTCGCCTAACACGCAATGTACAAGTTGCCTACGAGGTGCCAATATGATTCTTGGACTTGCCAGTGGCTGGCCTGCGGCGCAGCAGTTGGTGGGCTGCGGAGGAGGCACCATACCACAGACTTTTCGTAACCAAAAATATTTGTGCTTCTTCCTCTAACGGTGCCAGCGTCTTCCAAAATATCTTTACATAAAATCGCATTCGAAACAGCCTGGCAAACTCGGGGGAGCCCTCTTCACCCTGTTTCGGTTGCTGGCTTCCCCCATCCTTGCTCATATCATACGACTATCCCAGCATCGTTGCTGGTAGCCGTGACATTGCCACATAAGACGCTTCTCCGTTCGCCGTCTCCACTTGATCCTTAGTCGCCAGCAATGCGCCAACAAGCCTCCGTTCCTGCGGGTGTGCGCGGAGTGACTGCACATACTCTTCGATGACGCTATTTTCTGGGATGCCCGTGCCTGTGTCCTGAAACAAGCTTGATTCACTGCGCATTCCCTGTTGCCAAATAAAGAACCAAGGCGATCCCGGGCCATTCACAGCCTGCCGCATTCTATCTAGCAGTTCCCCGTCGAGCAGTCCAGTGGGACCTACACTTAGGTGTCGGAAAGCAGTCCGAAGGACTGCAGCAACTGAACTCCGACTCACGCCCGCAGCTGTGGCCAGTGCAGCGTCGCTCATGGCACTGAGTCCTAATGCCATGTGGGAGCGCAAGTATATGCGCAAATTCAAGAGCTCTGCTTGCAGGTCAGCCAGTGTCGCTAGGCCCTGAGATGAGCGCACTCGAATGAACGGCCGAAGCAACCCTTCGAGACTGACTAGACCCAAGTCGCGCCCAAGACGACTGAAAACTCGGAAAAACCCTTCCTCAGTACCAGCTGTGATGAATTCCCTTCCTCCCTGTAGATAGACCGCACGGCGGAAGTTAGTCTCGGCGTTAACAGGAGGGATTGCAAATGACTGGGGGAATACGGTTGAAGACCTCACACAGACCTGCCGCAGCGCTGCATCCACACCGCTGCAAAGTAGCCATTCGTCTGAATCGTCGAAGCAGCACATTACGCTAAGACTGCCAGTATCAACGGTGAGGAGTGGTTGATGGCCGTTGATCCGTTGGCGAAGATCCCAGAGTCTGCAGGTTTGGTCAAAAGAGGCTGTGACAAAAAGATGGGGGGAGATATGTGCGAATCGCACAATGTTAATGCTGTCCGAGTGGAGGCCACTTAGGGTTCCCAGCCTCACACCCGTGGCCACGTCATGAATGGTGAGATCTGCGCTTCTCCCGGACACAAGAAGGTAGTCATCCGTGCTGTTGACTGAAACAGAGCTCAGATCTTCGCAAGCGCAGTACTGGTGTACAATGCGCAAAGATGCAGTGCCTTCCCTGCTTAGTCGTTCGCCTCGCCCACAGCGCCTGAACCACGTTAAAGCAGCTGTCACTGTTGAACCATCAAGGAAGTCATCGCGATCTCCGGAATAATGATCACCTTGGTTCGCCTCGAAATCACCCACTTCCACATGGTGTTGCTGCTGCGCTGGCTGTCGAGACTGCATGTTACGAGGCAACGATGGCTGAGAAGAGGGGACTGCAGTCTTTGGTATTCTCCCGCGGTCCCCTTTAACCTCGTGCAAGCATATGTCGTCCTGTTCTCTCCAGCGGACAACGTATGGGATGCCAGACACGCCAGCAGCGCAGACGAACAACTCAGGGTGGTGCTTCAGCCAAGAAAGGGCTAAAATGGGGTGGCTATCAACAAGTTCTGTTCCTAGGACAACATCTCGTTTCCAGTCGAGAACACGCACCTGAGCCCACACAGGAAAGCACGGATGGAAGCACTAAGGAGAGACACTACCGACTCAACCTAGCTGACCGCCTGCAGCAGTTAGGCAGTGTAGGTACGATCGTGAACACGCCAATAAGGCACCGCCGAAGCATGCCGACAAATGCGCATGATTTTCTGATGGCAGGAGACGGACTGACTAATGCAGAAATTCGCATCTCTAGTCTGCCGGTGAGTTCTAACGCGAAGAAGGGAGTGGGGGACTCGAGTGCTCACCCTTCCATCATTGTTGCCTGTGAGCAACACGTTACCCTTCGCCGGATGGTACTCAAACTGCCTCGCATTCACTGACGATTGAAGAATCCACGGTGTGCACAGATTCGCATCTTCCTCTTCCAGCGTTATGCCTGCAAAGCGCCGCGAGGAAGTGTCTACAGATGCACTTGAATCTGCGTTGGAGTACAAAGTGTTGGCGCGTTCGTCCTCTTCAGCGTCCCGTAGGGAGGTTCTTTCAGTTGGCTTCAAGGCGCTGGTAGGCTCCGCATACATTGGAGTATCAGGTGCCAGAAAGACAGAAGCGGCTTTGCCATCTACATTGACTTCACGCTGCTCGGTGTTGGTGGCACACCTATGAGGCCGAAGTTCTTCAAAAAAGCTCTCAGCTTGCGGGCATGACTCCATTTGTGAGCAGAGATTGTTTGACTCAGCTGTCATGTACACAGGCTCAAGAGCAGCTTCACGGCGCAGAACTATTGTGGGCTCGCCCTCTGTAGGCATGCCCGTTTCCACCGTTAGCGTGTTTTCCTGCGTCCATGCAGATAAGGGCGACAGCAACCAGGGACTAGCTTCATCTGGCGACCTCTCATCTTCAGTGGGATGCAGATGGGGATTGCACGGTGGCAAAATAGTTCCGCTCTGAACCCCTTTTGAGTTCCCGCGGTGCCCAGGTGTCTGCGCCGGAGGGCCTCGTGGGCCGCATGTGAGCGTCAAACAACCTGCGCAGGCTGATGCACCACGCCTGGCAAGTGCAAAAGGCATAACAGTAAGGGTAAGGCGCTCGCAAGACGTAAGGCGCAAGTCTGCGGCCAGTTTCGCGGACGGTAACGGTTGCTCGTCGTGTTCTCTGTTGGGATGAGTGGAAGCAAGCCAAAAGCGTAACACGCCCGCCCCCGATGAATGCGTCGTCTGACCGTTTCTGTCTTTTCGGCGACGATAGTAAGGACGGTCCATTATTCCATCTAAGTGACTGCTGCTCACTTGGGGGTCGCCTACCTGCGTATCAGAGATAAGTGGCAACACGTACTTTCTCTCCGTCAGAGTGAGGAAAAGCAATCTCACCAAGTCTGTTACTGTTGCATCCATCGGTAATAACAGAGGCACATCTTCCGGAAGGCCCCTAAACGGGGATGCAGCTGCAGCATCCCATTCGGAGGTTCCTAGCCTGTAACACTTCATACTCCCACGTGCCCGGCAAAGGAGAGTTGCTGGTGGCAGGCACGTCCGCACAAACAGCAACAAGCCGTGGCCAGGCTGCAAAGGTGGGCCCTCTAGACGCCAGCCAGATGAAAAACAGCCGAAACTTTGTCCCGAAAACTCTAATGTTGGGGTCCATGTAGCACCTGATCCGTTCATTTCACGGTCTTGGTCACTCGAAGACGTATCCTCACGTTCCGTTCCTACTGAGTTGCTTTCGCTTGTCGAGCTTGAGCCACGCCACAGAGGTCTGCGCACGTGACTTTGCGGGTGCTGCAGGATTGCCGCCCCCGTGCTCAAGGCTCGCACTCTGTGGGCGATTGACTGGCCACCGCCTGGTTGGCCAAAAATGTCACACGGGTTGAAAGACCGGGAGCACCGTGCCGGCATAGAGCAACAGCTTCGGCGGTGAAAAGCTCCAATGCATACCGACAAGAAAGACTGGGATCTGCGGGGCTTGAAAGGTGCCGCAGGTGGTGAGCGAAGAAACGCCGAGTCTCCCAATGCACCTCGTCGCCTTAATTGCCGAAGCCCTTCTTTTCCATGCAGCTGCTCTGGGTTTCCTCTATTCTGCGTCAGAAAATGTTTGAATTGTTTCATGCTTTTCGTATTGCTAGATGAGTCCACGGACTTTCCCACACGCTTTCCTTCGACCTCCGCATCTGGTTGCGAACCAGTAGGTGACGCCACCTGGACACCACCCTGTGGCAGTCGTTGTTTCTGAGATATGCGCATATCGGTGGGGCCTCCCAGTGGCTGAACATTACCGGCAGGTCTGCATTGCCCTGTCCCAGGTGGACGGAGCACTGCCGTTAATACCGCGCCTGCAGCTGCAAGAACAGTAGACGCTGCTGTCGCTGCATCTCTTGAAATGCTGCTCAAAATTGTGCTAGCAAGCGCTCGAGATGCTTCGCTCAGAGCAGCGCTGGCAAGTCTTGACGAGCGAAAGAGTCGTACAAGTCGATCTTCAAGCAGCCGCCCGAGATGCGGCAGCCGTGGACGCAAGCTTCCACTTAATGATTCCTCTCCGGCACACGCGGGACCACAACTGCTTGGGGGCCCAGCTCCATATGGAGTCGCCTCATTTCCAATCTCCCCATGAATGCCGTACCCACTAGCCAATGGTCCTGGTGCCAACCCGCGTGACCCGGAGAAGCTCGACACCAAGCAAGATGGTGGAATATCACACTCCGTCACCTCCTCTTGGTCGTCTTCGTGCTCATCTCTCTCAAGCACGTGCAGATCCACTCTAAATAACCTGGAACTTCGCGCCGCAAGTGTGGCCGTGGCAGCTGCCGCAGTGGTGATGGCCGCCGTAGCACTCGACGTCGCAACCGCAACGAGCACAGCGCCGACAAAAATGGCTGCCGCGGTTGTCCCAACAGAAAGAGGGGACAGAAGGCTTGCAAAAACACTCCCACGGTCAAGCACATCGAAAATAAGACGGTCATCGTGCACAGCATCCACCTCAGGAACCTGTCGTGAGCGCCGGGGGCGGTTTTCGTCCACAACATTGTGAACTTCCATCCTGTCTTGGTGCCTCCAGCCGCCACCCAGCTGAGCCAGAGAGTCGAGCTCCAGCGAGCCGTAAGGGGGTAGCGGCCACACCAGAGAGGAGTCGCCTTTGGCCTCAGCGACAGAACAGGAAGAACGGGCAGAGGGTTCCTGCAGACAGCGCAGGGGGACTTGCCATTCAAGCAAGTAGTGCTGCTCCCTCAGAATCTCTGCCACACACAATCCTGGGCGGTTCCCTCGTCTCAAATGACGTAGCCTCATGGGCTGAGAAATGTTCAGAGCCCTGCGAATGAAGGTGGAAACAAACTCCTGCGGTTTAAGCCACCTTTTCTGAGCATGCCTGAGCTGGCGCTGTTTCTCCTGTTCCCCGCTGCCGCATTCCTGTCCGTCACCCGTAGGCGCGCCTCCCGCCGTAGAACAGCGGCGGGCATTCGTCATATCTGGAACAACAGGATACATGGGAAACTGTAGCTTCAACTCCCTGACGTGGATATGTATCCTGGGACCAGGGCTAACTCGGTTTAGCAGGAACAGGAAACGCCAGTCCACCAACTCGTGCACTGCAAAATCACAAGAAACAACGGCAAGCACAACTTCAGCCACTTCTCTGGCAAGAAGGCCAAAGGTTCCACTGGCTGCAACCCCAAGACCACATTCAAGCAAAGTAGCTACGGCCTCTGCCGTCAAATATGTGCATCAAGCCTTGACTCACGGGTGCATTCGCTCAGAACCTGCAGTCCTCGGCAGTGCAGGCCGGCTTCCCATGGCTTATCCGCCGCGGGCAACGGGTAAATTTCTGACTCCGACTGCCTGCGCCTGCATCGTGCTGCCCTGTTACAGGGAGGGGCAGTGTCAGGCCTGTCTACTCCACACCTCCGGCCGAGATCTGAAGAAGATGACTCGGAATGCGCATCTTCCCGCAAGAGTCCCGCGCACGAAGGCCAATCTTGTAGAGAATTGCGGATGCTGCTGTCCAACCGGAAGCAGCTGTCACTAATGGTGTCTCGTCTCCTCGAAATTTTCCGTGTGTGTGCGTTAAGATCGGGCTGAGCTGCATTCGACGGCTTTGTGCATCGGAGTCTTTTTCCAGTGACCCTAGTACCAGGCTGATGACGCGGCGAGGCGGCTACACGATGGTACGAAACAACCCCTGCTGAAAAACAAAGCGATTTCCAAGTGTCACGGTGGAATGCTATCCATCGAAGGCTCTTACAAACAGATGCAAGCGCTACTACATCCTCTGCACCAAGGAACATCGCCACGTGGCCGAACAGGGCAGCAGGCAAAGGCGTCTTTGCGAGCGGCGCTATCGCCCATGCCCCTGCATTACACCACCCCTTCGTTCTTTCGACTCCTTCAGGCTGAATAAATATGTTTCGGTCGGCTGCAGGGTCAGAATACCACATAGGCCGGCCAAAGAAGCCCAAGATGCCGCAGTCCACACCAGTATGGTGGAAAAGCAAGGGGTCCCTGCATTCTTGGAGGCTTGGCGGCTGACGGGATATCTGACTACCTCCAGAAGGAGGCTCAGTGCTGCCACGGCCTTGGATTGAACGCCCCATGATTAATCCCTCAAAGGAGCGCAAAGGCCGTACGGAAGGGATCACAGCGCGGCACTCGTCACCGCCGCGACCCGCCAGCTCAACTGTGGCGGCAGCGAACGTGCTGCCAGGGGCATTAGACTGTTCAAAGTAGTCCTCATCTGGGAACAACCCAACTCCTGACTGCGGATTCGGATGGGGACCTCCAAAGAGCTGCCCGGTTGCCTGCCCGCGGTCACCCAACAACACCATCAACGGTGAAGTTGCGTCGGCCTAAAGTGGGGCGTCCTGGTTAGAGAGATACTCAAAAAGACGCAAATTACTAGGCTCACTGCATGCATAACAAGAAACCCAAAGTACAAACGCATGCCACATCTACTCCAAGTCCTGGAGGACTAGTGGAATCCGCAGCACTGAGGGAGTGAAAAAGACCGACAAAGCTGTCGGCAACATATAGATAATGCTAACGATGCAATACAAGAATAGGCATCTCTCTCCACGGACAACAGTTAAGTAATAAACCATGCACCGACAGATGCTGACGCCGCACCTGATCCAGCTTCCCACTGCAGCCATTACTAGCCCAACTCAACTGCCACAAACTAGATGATATTTTTTCTTGCTTCACAAGCAACTGAGTTTCTTAGAGATGCTCGCTGTTTTACTAGTGGAAGCTCCAGCTGGCAGTAGACCAGCTGCGCTTGACCGCTCGCGGAGAGTGCCCCATGAGTCCACGCAGCAGCGATGCGGAAATGAAGTTCCAAATTCCTCATGTCCTTCCTCACTGTTTCCAAAATTAAAGTTACAAGGTTGTTTAAAAGGACCATGCTAAATGGCATCCGCATTCAGGTTGCGTGTACACGGAGTTTTGCACATGGGTGGGAATCCACTGCTCCCTACCACACTCCTTCCAGTTAACAGACGGGCGACCTGTACTTCCTCGTCCGCTTTAAAAAGACAGCACAGCGAGCAAATGAACGTAATAGTTCCCCCCCCTGAAGCTATGGGCGCGGTCGTGCGAACCGCTTCTGGCGTACGACCGACCACTCCTGCCTCACTGCACAACTTGTATACAAAGGATCACGACACCCGCGTATATTCGGGATTCTGTTTTTCTTTGCGGGAAACGTATGCGTCCCGACCTGCAGTCCTTGCTGCCCCACATGGCTAGCAGCACCACGAAATACAATATAGTGACTCCCCACGTACGTCCGCCGACTGCACTGGCGTACCGTTACGAACAACTAATTCGCTGAACACCTACCGCCCTGTATACCTCTGACCGGTCTACGGGACCGGCGAGCAGGAAACAGACGCTTGTGCAGGGCATTATTTGCCTGAATATGCCCTGCACAAGCGTCTTCCCCCGGCTCGCCGGTGCCGTTGTTCTTATGATTTCGTGTATGGCACTGTCAATGTTGGTTCATTCACACCCTTCTCTTTACAAAGAATTGGGCTTTTCAATCCATTATTCCTAGGAGGCCCCAACTGTAGGCCGACGTAGAAAATTCCCTTTGTGCCCACGCCGCCGTGCGTGCCCCCTTTGCTATGCGTTAGAAAAATAGGATTCAGACTTGGAGATTGCCCCACCGTCTCATACCTCATGTCGTTCGGGGTCTTAAAAGATCAGAGCCGTAATGCCCACTGTGGCATTTTACAAAGTCTAAGCATCTGCAGTGATGGGCGCATTGTCGCAACTATTTCCCTTGGGAAGGCTGGGCAGGTGCCTTGCACTTCTGAAGGCTCAGCGTTTAGGCGTTTTCGTGGGGCTATTGCCATGTTCTAAAACCAATGATTGAGTTGGCTCCTCTACGAAAGACCCCTACTGCCCAGGATGGTAGGGGACCCTTTCTGCAATGCCATTGGTTGTCCTGAACTATCCTGCCCTTCCTTCTGCAAATGGGAAACATCATATTCGCACTCTGTCACTTTTCCAAAGGCCTATGCATAGCTGTTTAGACTTCCGAACATCCAGTGTCTCATTAAGCAAGCACTCAAGCAACTGCAGGGCAATAAACGACGGCGATGCGAATCGGCCGAGCTCGGGATTATGTTTTCTCACGGATACCTTGCCTCTTCCATCTGAATGTATAAGTTTTTCTGAAAACGCTATGCCCGCGATTTCTGTCCTCGAGACATGGGGACTCACCTCTGTCTTGAGTTGATTTATCTTGGAATCCTGGTGGGACGCTTCTTGAGTCACTGCAGTCACTGCAGGGGCTGGCACCTCTGTGCTGGTGAGTTTCGTCCCCTCTTCCTCGGTTCCAGCAGTTGCATATCCCATGAAGACTTCGTTTGATTTACGTTTCCCGTCTCTCTGCAAACTTTCAGCTTGTCCTTCCCCTACCTGTCCCTTTTCAGGACTGGTTGCGCCACCGACGGGAAGACGCAGTAGAGCGCGGCGAATACCCTCAAGCTCTGCATGTATAGCCAGATCAATGTCTTCTGCGCGTGTCTGATTTGCCAAAGCCAAAAGTGGCTGCAGCGTTGATGCGACTGCAACCAGAATAGCAGAGAGTATGTATCATCAAGGCTACAGCCTAAATGGACGACGTCCTCGGAAAACAGTACGCTACCGCAGTGTGCGCAAACGAGCAGCCGGTGCAAAAAGCCCACAAGCGATATATGCAGGCTACGAGCAGTCGCCCAGCAGCAACAAAGAAAACCGATGCCCATTGGCTTGTCCTCATGGTGCGAACAAACGTACCTTCCGCTCCCCGAGGCAGCTTACAAACCAGCCTAACTATGCCTTGTATCATTCGTAGCAAGCCTTGCGTCTTCCATCCCTTTCCCTTTGGCAGCGTCTTCGCGTTTAGGTGGGACAAATTTATTCTGTCAACCAATTCAATTCCAAAAGCTGGATTCCCCGGCTGCAGCTGCTTCATGAAAACGACCAAAAACGCCACTCGCGCATCTTCTTTGATCCTTTGGGCTTTTTCCAGCGCCTGCCGTTGCATGCGCTTCTTCCGCTCCTCCACAGAAACCTCTAGATCCCCTCGTGATATACTTTCATCACGGCTGCTGCTCCGTTGGTGACGCTCCGCACGCGACCCCGAGGGACTGCGCAGGCGTATCGGCGAGCTTACTGGTGACTGGCATTCGCTGCTGCCTAAAACCGGCGCCGAACCCAGGGAACTGCAGTGCGATGGGGTCTTAGCCACAGGCGAAGCGGAGGAACGACTATCTCTCGCGCTTGCCGACGACTTCGATGCCTGCTCCAGGCTGCAGCACTCACTGGCACTGGCCAGAGATTGCTGTCGGGTGGAACAATAGATGTCCTTCGAGAAAGTCCTTCCAACCAGTGTGCTTGCACTTTGTCGAAAAGCTGTTGCAAGCGACAAGAGCCCAGACGACGAACTGCTCCCGTGTCTCAACGTGCCGAATTCCTCACTACCGAACGCCTGGAGCTCTCCGCTGGAATAGACACGCCCTTGAAATGAGAAACTGCCAAGTTGACTAGGGGTGTGGTCTCCTGCTCAGGCCACAAGCATTTTCAGGCATTTACCACTCAACAGTCCCCCCTGTCTACTTCATGTTTCCACCAGCACATCAAACAGCCAACAGGCAAACCATCGGAATAGCCCCTACGCGGCATAGCCCTTTGCTATGACATGAGAAAGAGGGTGCGTGACTCCTGCGGGGCTACTACGCCGATAGCTCTACTTGTATTCATGCTGACCTGTTCCCCAGATAGAGCTCTCTAGAGAGTCCAAAAGCTTCAGGTTCGCCTGCCTTTCTTCTTCTTCCTTCTGATCCTGTTGCTGGTGGTACAAGCAGGGGCAACGTTTCAAATATCCTTGCTGAAGTGCTTGAATCCTCAAAATGTAGGGCTGCGAAAGGTGCACACAGAAGAAAAACCTCTCCGCAATGTTCCATTCAACCAATGAGAGGGATGCAGTTGGCCGAGTGTCGCACTCTTCGAGTAAAAATAAATGGCAGGCTACATACATACATTCAAGACTTCTCGCAGCTTCGCCCTTTGGTTGTATTGCCGTCGCCACGCCTTCAATTCCTCCAGAAATATCTGCGGAGCGGCACCCCACATGAATACCTCAGTCCCAATAAGGTGTCAGTCGACAAAGGATTCCTCGCTCACTGGACTACTACATTAGCAGTGTCTCTCTCCAGCCTTACTCGCTGGTCTGCGGCCTCAAGAATCAGATGCTGCATCATACGTCTTTTGTGGGCCAGATCTTCGGGAGAGCTGCAGCACGAAAAAGGACAGAGCAAGGCCACTGGCCTCGAATAATTCCCCTTAAGCCACCACAGTAAAATAGTACAACCTGTAAAGCACTTCCCAAGGAACCGCTTCCATGTCAATGCGCAACACACCAAGTTCGAGGGGTAGGCGGCTGCTCGCGACACGAATTGGGGGACGGGAGACCCGCAGCAATCTTCCCATTCGTTCTGGGCCCCCCATCTAGCCGCCCTTGACTACTAACATCTCCACTTGGCGACGCATCGCAGTTCTCTGCTCCGTCTGCTCCGTCGAGAAGCGCTCTGCCAGTTGGCTGGCTACCATCTGCTCCTTCCAACTGGACAGGTGGCGACACATCTAGGGGGGATAATGCATGTGAAGATACAGACCCTCCAGCACGCGGCCCTTCCTGGTGGTTCTGGAGCTCAGCTGACTGGCATGGAATAAGCTCTGCAAAATCCTCATCTCGGAAGCCCTTGGACGACGGGAGTAAATTTTCCACTGCTCCCTTTTTACAAGTATGCAATGTCATAGTGTCATCAGCGTCCTTCGTTGTACATGATCTCCCTTCTAGAGTCGAGGGGCAGATAGTGATGCGGTGCTGAGTCGCCGGCTGCAGCGGCATTGACGTACCGATTTCCTGGGACGCTGGAATTCCCTCTTTTGCACTTCCATCGTCTACTTCTCTGATGTTCAGACTCCCCCCTGCTCCTTCTGAGCCCGGATCTGTTGGTTCTTCCCGAGACTCGTCCAACAAGAGCAGAAGCATCTCAACTTGGGCATCGGAGAGTGAGGTGGCCAGCTGGAGGAGCGGCTGGTATGGTACGATGACGTAAAGCTCTGATGGAGATTTCCCATTCATGAGCGGTGGCACGCCCTGACGAGAAAGAGGGTGCTGTAAACGTGCACAACCGTGGTTGATCTTCTGAAGCAGCAACCACTGAAGAAGCTGTCGCTGACTAGGTGTGATAAGTTTAGAGTGAAACTGAAAAGGTTGCATTATCATCGCGTCCCCAGAGGTTGGCACCGCTCCACAATCTGCTCGCGCATGGTTGTGAGCTGGCATATAGTGGGGAGCAAATTGAGCTGCACGGATAACATGATTAATGCATTCTACTTGTCCATCAGACAGGGACATGGAAAACTGGACGAGGAGGAGCTGATTCACAAACTCTAGCGGCTGATCAAAAATAGGCCCTGAAAACTTGAATGTGCGAAGCAGGTCCATCAACACGTCGTCTTGCTTTGAAGCCTGACAGCCAAAATGGTGCAGTTCAAGCAGCAGCTCAAGGATATCTGCCTGTTGACGAGTCAACGCCTCCACAGAATACGTTGGAAATTCCGCATGACCCCGTACTCCCTCTTGAATAATGCATCGGGCATCCTTCTCGGCCGTGCACCTTGCTTTTGGTTCCTCCGCAGCTGCATATCCCACGTTGTCACCATGACGAGGGCCATAAGCACGCCAGGCGGCTCGTTGAAGGCTTGCTGATGCCTCTTGAGAGCGTTGCTGCTCTTTGTCGAGTTCCTGCTCCTCAGAATTCTCATGTATCAACTGGGTCAGTACTTTCAGCTGCTGGGCGGTGAGGGATAAAGCCAGACAATACATAAACATCTGCCGGTACCAACTACAGCCAATCTGTTCCACACACGCTGTGAGGTCTCCACTTGATTCCCACAGCTCTCGAGCACGCTGTAACTCCTCAAGTACTAACACACTTGATCGAGGTACCGGGACCGGATCACTGGAAAGTACCAATTTATAGAGCACTTGCAAGTCCTCTGGGGGTAACAGCTGCAAAAGCTCCCGCAGGATACCGTCCTGTAGAAACCCGTTTTCAACAGGAGTTAGCGCTTCGCCTTCTACGACACGCTGTAGGAGAGCCATGGTCCTCACTTGGCCAGGCGTAGGCGTTGCCCTACCCTCATTAGGAAGAATTGTGGATGGCTGGTAACCTGCCACCTGCACACACGGCACGCCCAGGAGTGCCGTCAAATGCTGTCTTTGCGGGGAAGTCAAGGAAGCTCCAAGAAGCTGCAAAAGGAGCTGAAATGCCTCGTCCGTAAATTCCTGGGTTCCTCCTGCACGACTTTTGGCAAGGCTAGTGAAGAATCTATTCTCCTGGGCCGGTGACCACCAAACTGCAGGCTGCACGTAAAGCGTTTCGAGCAAACGGCGTTCTTCGGGTGAAAGAGGCCAGGGAGGTTCTAAAAATAGGAGCCGATGAATGGCCATTCGCTCGGCCCATCCACAATAAGGCGCAAGCTGCTCTTCTAGGGCGGCCTGTACTGCATACCTGCCCTGCCGATGATCTGGTCCATTCATGGTGCGACGGAGATCATCAAGTAAACAGGGAGACAAGGGGGGAGCGCACTTGTTCTGCAGGGCAGCCGAAGCATTCAGTTGCTGCTCTGATGAGAGAGAATTTGCCAATGCTCGCAACAAAAGCGTCCGCAAGATGACATCTTCATCGGTATAAATGCCCCCATTGGCTCTTTTCTTCAGGAGCTTGATAAACAACTGGCGTTCCGAGGAAGTCAAAGCATTCGATCCCGTGTGACTCAAGAGCTCGTGAAGCAGAGTTATTTTGCCAGGCATCAGGGGCCCAATTCTCTCAGCGCACAGGACATGGCGTAGTATATGCACGTCTTCAGGTGACAGGATGCCACATGAATAGCGGTACAACATCTCCTGCAATTTCTCGATCTCGCTTGAAAAATCCTCGACATGCAGGTACTCTGACTGAAAGAAGTCATTTCTGGACTGGTGTGCCATTTGGTTCCCTCTCTTTGCACGGTGCCTCTCCCCTGAGGAGTGACGGGCTGCAGAACACCGTTTAAATGTTGAATTGGCGAGGCAGCACCAGCTCCATCGACAAGCCGGGCTTCCGCCAGCTCCATATTCCCGTGTCCGACCACTTAATGAGCAGCCACAGTGAGCGCTGGGCTCACGCTTGCCACCTGCCGGTGCGCAATCGCAGCTGCGAGGAAGCAACCGTGCCTCCGGCGGGCAGGAGAGAAAGTATCTGCTATCCCTATTTGCGCTATATAATCGGCCAATCAATTCCTCATGAGCTCTCCTCCTTCGGGCAGGCAATACCGATGCCTGTTTGCTGCTATACTCTCTCCCGATAGGCGGTGCGTCTGATGCAGCCTGATGCTCCATGGGTCCTCACGAAACACGGGGCTCCCAATTGAAACTCAAACTATCTTTGGGCTTTAGTTAAGAAACATCAATTGTCTAAAGTATTGATTCGTGAAGTACTGTTCGGCAAGGCCACCCACTTGGGCTGAGCTACCTCCGCGATCGCTCGACGCTGTGCTGGGGCGATTGCCTGGGAAGGAAAGATTTTCTGTTGCTGTGTCCTGAGGAATCTATTAACTTATATGAAAGAGTGTATACGCTCTAACTGAAGCCGCTGACAGAGCACAGCAATCGCCAATGCTAAGTAGGGCCCCACGACCGAACCACTGGTCCACTGGGGCATGCAGTTAATCGTTTTCCCTCAAGTGTTTCGTCTCTCGCGAGATCTTCGACTAATAAAGAGTAGTGACAACTGTCACTTCGAAGAGAAGCTGTTGCCGAGGCTTTGCTCCATGCGAGACACTCCAAACGGGCTAAATTAGGCGAGCATGCGGAATGCTGTTCTTGCCGTTCTTTGGACGGAGTGCTTCCGCTGCAAGCACGCTTCTTAGGGGATTCAAGTGATGGGTATAATGGCAGCTGTGTGACAGTTTAGTTGTCCTTTCACCGGCAGATAGACACTCTGTGGAACGGAAGGGATGGGTATGCCTCGAGCCGCAGTGTAACTGTTTTTTGCTTAGTAAACTCAGACTGCGTGCCTTGATGTTTTCGCCTCATCTGCCCTTGACTTCACATCGTTTTCGCAGATGGGCTAATGAACAACGTACGCAAGAATGGTAACGCCCTGAAGTTCCCAAGTAGATTTCGTTGCTGTGGCTCGATGGTTAGCGCCACTCGCGGTGCGTAGTGATGGAATACATTAGCTCACGTTGCTCAAAATCATTAATTGACGTGAGCATTACAAGCAACGGAAAAATTGGTATTTTTCCGTCGCTGTAGTCGGCGGGAGGCAGACTGCACCACTGGTGTACAGGTTACGATTGCCATGAACATCAACGAACAACATATACCAAAGAGTAGCCTCAGAAGCAAATAAAGAAAAAGAATATGATCCATCACAAACTCTTTGCCTAGCTTCTCCACCCTCTCCGTACCTGTACACTTGGCAAGACACCCAAGCAAATCAGTGATTCATAGCCAGTCATGTCTGCTGTATTCGTGCATGCAAATGCCGTCTGGACAAAATAGAGAAGAATGCCTTATCAAAAGCAGAGCTGCCACACAGGAATGAAACGTAGTACAAGAATGAAGACAGGCGCATATGCACCACGTCGGCATCCACACATGTCCACAAGCAATGCTGCATGCATACGGGTATACACACATTCATACACATACGCGCACACATGTACTCACCCACGCATGGTATATTGTATTAATGCAAGCACATAAGCGGGCATTCACATGCATACGCATGCACACGCACAGACGACGACAAAACCATGCGCCCACGCACACGAATCCAAAACTCAGATATACCCTAGCCGTCAGTTGCTGTAAAGAAAATCAACCATTAAGAGCAATCCAACAGGCTGTAGCGAGTCAGGTGGAATGCCTAGGATGCTCTGCGCGTTAGCAGCGGAGACCCGTGCATCGGCAATCCGACTGCAAGCAGACCTAGGCGGCGTGAGCAGCGCGTGTGCTGGCAGGTAGTGTTAAGGGGCAAAGCAGCATATCACCAAATAAATCATATGATCCATTCAGAATTTAAGAGATAATAACAATACCGGTATTACGTGTTCCCCGCAACACCCGTTAGTCGGCCGGGCCAAGCTCCGTACTCCTCATGGGGAGGCTTTGTGTAGGTAGTTGCTGACCCATGTTATCTATCTCACAAATAGAGCGGTAAATTGGGACGTGATTGAATGAGCTTGGCAATAGCCGATGCTAATTACTTGTGAACTGCATTATCGGTCACTAGTAATCGATGTGGCGCCGTGGTGCATGCCACAGCAGACCGCCAAGGGTGGCTTGACCCGTTCGCGTGTACACTGTTTTCCCAACAACGACCTGGCAGCTTGTTCCTAGTTTTTTGTCCTAGATCTTATAGCATTTGACATTCCTCCGTCCGGAGCAAGCCACTATTCTGCTGAGTGCACCGGTAGTCAGTGGGTGACGGCGAGGACGGACTCAGCGGAATTAGCCATGAGCCGTTGTTTCGAAAGAAGCAGCTGTGGAATTTCTCCAGTAATTTGTAAACTGAAGCTTAGAAGTTGTCGAAGTTCTTTCCGCGCCCGTTGCGGTTTTGATGCCGCCTTTAGCTGCACCGATGCTGTTCCCTGGGCACGGCAAACTGATCATGGGCCGGCATTATTGAGCAGCTAGTGCTACTCTGGCCCTCTTTGCTCTTCATTTTACAAAGCTTTTGGTGGAATTGTCTCTTCAACCGTTCGTGGCCATTTCCTGCAGCTGTCTCTACCTGCACTGCCTTGTTAGGGGACAGTGTTTGAATTACTGGTCAACAGCTGCGCTTGGGCCCCGAAGCGACGTAATTCTACTCCTTAGGAGCACTCTACAATACGTGAGACCTGCTGTGGCTTCCAGATCAAATCGCGAGGGCACATTGGGTTTCGCCGCCCTTCCAGAGGCACGGAGAGCGGCGGGATCAGCAGACACTGAGCAGCGGATCACCAACCAACAGTCAGCAGTTTTTTTCTCGAGACATTTGAAGCCATATTTGAAGCCATGGGGGATTCTATCAGGAGTCAGAGCAACAATGGAGGCTTACACCATGATGAGCCGAAAGAGGGACTCGTGCGGCGGGTTGCGTCCAACAGAGTGGCGCTAAACGTAATGGGGCGCACAGAAAGAGCGCTCCGAATGGCCCTTGGAGGTGCTCTGATCATGGCACTGACCATGTGCGACCTCCCGCACATGGACTACTCTTTTAAATACATTGGACCCTTCTTATTTTTCGTTGCTGGCACGTTGGCACCTCCCATGCTGAGCTCACTAGTGATTCTTCTGTTTGCGGGCTTGGCTTGTATCTTGCTGGCGTGCGCTCTGGCAACTACGCTAGTTTCTTGTCTGTTAATCGGCAGCGGTGGAAAAGCTCTCTGTATTGTCATTTACTCCGTTTTCATCCTTTGGTCTTCTTTCTTGACGACGACCAAGACAAAGGATATGACCCTCATCGGCTCTTACATCCTGTTGTACGCCGTACCCTTGGCTACGCTAATCGCCTCCCCCTATGCTTCTGAAGGTATTAGCATAGAGCTTACGCCTGAGCGATTCGAGGCTTTGAAAGCGTTCGTCGCTAACAGCAGCGTTGACGATATCCTGGCTGCCGCATCCAGCTTCCTACTGGTTACCCCCGATAAGGCGGTCGAATTCGTTAACGCGCTGACGAAGCCTTCGGCTCTGCGATTGCTAGTTCTTGTTGCACGTGTCCTGCACATTAAGGTTCCCGCCCCAACGTACAAGGAACTAAGCCCGCAAGAGGCATTAGGTCTCTACTTGACCGTTCTCGGTAGCTTTCCACAGGGGACGCCACTCCACTTTGAGAAGAAAGTGCCTAGAGGGGCGGGGCTGGATCTTCCCCAGGATTGGATGTACGATATACCCTTTTTCGTAGAAGGCATTAGCGGGCAAACCATAACTGTTGGCGCGAGGCCGGGCGCGTGGTTTATCAGGGCTCTCTGGGTTGCATCGGGATCTGTTGGAATCCTTCGAAATCTCATCATATTTGCATTCCTGGGATTCGCAGTGTACTTTTTAGTCATGTTGGTGCCGCCAATTAGACGGCAACGGGATGTTGCAGTCAGGGAAATGGCGAATGCGTGCAGCGTCATCCGCAAGTGAGTCACTCCGTACTCAAACCCACGTCTCCACAACCCACGTCTCCACAGCGGTGGATTTTTGTATCATGAGATGGCATTACTCCAAATTGTCGATTGTTTGTTGCGCCTTGCAGGTCGCTACGTCTAGCAAAGGACAGGCTGGCGGCAATGGATTCGGTAGTCGAGGATTCAACACGAGTCCCGAAGGGAATCGTGAATGGCAAGGAAGATCAGCATGATGTAGAGAGTGGAGCGGCAGACTTTTCGAAAGCAGAGTCTGAGAACCTCTACAAAGGGGCTGCTGGTGCTCTGGACGAGGTCGTTTTAAGTCTGCTGGATACGCAAAAGGCTACACTGCTATCCGGCATGGAGCCCTACTTGCTGTACCCGGGCCCTGGCGTGTGGACCATGAAGGAACTTGACGAAGTGCGAAAAAGACTGATTCAGTGCTGTTTGCGGACGCAAAATGTGCTGCAGCTGATCCTCCGCCCTCAACACAAGAATGCCATCGGCTGCCTGAATTCAAATCCCGCCCTGGTCTCTGCTGGCAGGCCCCTGTTGGACAAATGCATACGGATGTACGAGCTGTGCGAGGACCTTTTAGTGACGTTTCCTTCTATGTTTTCCCCTTCCAAAAGCAAGCAAAAAGCAGAAGAGCTGATGGAGCATATGGGTCTCCTGGAAGGCGAAATGCGTTCGTTGGCTTTGGAAGTCTTCCACCCGTCAGAATTAGACACAGAGAATGCCATTGTTCAGCTGGAGGCAGACACCGCTGCTGCAGCTTGCTCAGCACCCGCAGATGAAAATTGTGTAGATGAACCAAGATCTGTAGACCGGCGGGAATCCTTTGCACGGGCAAAGGAGCTCCTTCCCGTGGGCCTTGCTGTCACTGCTTTCGTACAAGCTAGCTATTCGGAGCCCCTGTGGCTCAGCCGAGCAATTTGTGCCTTGAACAAAGCACAGCAAACCAATACTTGGCATGGGCTCGCCATGAATCTAGTCTTTCCTTTCGTGCCCGTCGTGGTGCATGCTCAGCGACTTCTCGTCGCGCCCGTGTCCGCTTTAGCATTTTGGTGGAAACAGTGGAGAGGGCCGCTCGCTTGGTGGAAGGACCCAGAGGTTTGGTACATCATCAAGCTTGTCATTCCACTAATCGCAATCTTCGCCTGCGGCATTTGCTTCCCGGAATTTCTTCAGTACTCCTGGGGTAAGGATAGGGCCACACGGGATATGGAGGATGCCGCCCCTCCTTTCCACGGCAGAAGCCAGCACCCAGGCATGTAGAACAGTTACGAAAAGAGTTTCTTGTTCAGTAGAATTGAAAAAGGTAGTTGTATTCCATTCCTCAGCCAGCCAATGCTGATTGACCGGAACTGAGTAAATGAATGGGTTTTGGAACAATTTTGGCAGTTATGTGATTGGGGATGGTATTTTGTTCGTTGCAGGCGTCGAGGTGACCGAGAGTCCTATCTTCTTGGACATCTCCAATCAGGGCATTGCAACTCGCATGGTTCCTTGGTTTTTACTGGGGTACCTCACAGTGCTGCAAACGACATATAACGGCACTCTACACCGAGCTCTTGGCCGCATAGTGGGTATTTTGCTGGGGTCCTTTTGTGGTTGGGTGGGAATGAAGCTGTTCGGCTCAAATTTGGCTGCCCTCATCGCATTTTGTTCGGTGACGGTGTTTGTTGACATTTTTGTTTTTGCCGATCCCCGTCACCCCCTCGACGGATTCAGCAGAAGATGGGGATACTCAGGAATGGTTTTCACCTACACGCAGTCGCTCATTGTCACTTTGGCAGCAGGCGGACTGGGCGGCTTGACAGGTCTGTATCGCTTGGCCATGCTGGGAACCCTGAAGCAATGCATGGTCGTATACTCCACCTATGCCACTGGTCACTGTCTGGCAGTCAGTTGTCGATTTTTGATTTGCAAGGCCCGTTTATTCCATGGGAGTTCAAGCGATCTGCACTAGAACTGGAGTTGCCTCCGTGCGCTCCTGTGCTGCATGAACGACCGCGGAACAACCTCTGTTTTTGTGTTTTGCATGCAGGGGATCGGGACTACTTGGTGACCACTCGCATTGTGAGCACTATTATGGGCATTCTTTTGGCAATTATTGTGGCGCATCTGCCTCCACGTGCTAGTGCCGCGACATGCGCCTGCATTGATTACTCCCAAGTTATGCAGGGGTGCACGAGGGAAGCCAGCCACTTAGTGCAAACTTTCCTTGCCCTCTGTGAATCGACAAAGGAGGAGCAGGGCGCCTGTCCTGCCGATAGTGCAGAGGGGTCCTCTCCCTTGCAAAGGTGAGCGGTGACTGAACCCACGATGAACGGTGGTATTAGGCTGCCAGTACAAGCATGCCAGAAAATGTAGAAGTGAATGTGGGTGCACACATGCGTACAGGGAACAAGAAGAAATCGCAGCAGCGACTAAGGCTCTAGAGAAAGACATAAAGGAGAAGCTTGGGTCAGGATCAATGCTTTTGCGTGAGGGTTGCTACGTTCCATTGCTGTCACCGTGGAGAATCCCCAAATCCCTTACAAAAGTGAAGGTCGCAGCGACTTCAATGCTACTTGAGGCGCAGGAGACAGCTCAACTCGTAGAGGGCATGCTCGAAGACTGGAAAGAAACAACAGCTGCCCCTGAAACGGCAGTAGCAGGAAAGGAAGAGCTAGAGTTGTTGCCCATGGCAGACTCAGACACACAAGGCGCTGCAAACAAGGGGCTGGCAGCAAGGAGCTGGAGTGTTTCCCTAATGCGGCACGGTAATTGCTTGGCTTTGCGAGAGCTATTTCAAACAACAAAAGGTGAGCAGGCGGGTAATCACGCTGCCCATAGACGAAACGTTTTCGCGATAAACTTTGGCGTTTTATTCCCGTGCTCTGCCGTATCCGTTGTTCTGTGATGCAGGTGTCGAGCTCAAGGAAGCATTGCTGGCTACATGTGATTCCCTTTGCACTCTTTCTGCGGCTACCAGCACGGAGTTGTCCTCAGCACTGCCGGCGTTTGGCGATAAGCTCATGTGCTGCCAACGGCGTTATTCCCGCCAAGGCGACAGCCCTGAAGGCCGTGAACAGGTCCGCTGCTTGCAGCAGCACCAGTCTCTTGCAGTGCAGCTAGATGTGCTGCGGGGGAAGCGGGTCGATACATGAAGCAGCTTCAGACGATGAATTTTTGCGCACCTCAATAGAGCGAGCATAGTGCCGCATCATAAGCAGTCTACTAGAATTGTCCTCTTACAGGGGCGCTGGCACCCTTGCAAGGCTAGATGCTGTAAACGATCACTCACTTCGCGGATATCTGGGAACTGTGCTTCCGTATCTTGTTCAGGCCTTCGAAGACTGTAGCTTGGCTGTGGACGCCTGTGCTCAAAGGGTAATCGTTGCACTAATAGAGTGTCTGGGGGAGCAATGTGGAGAGCGCCGCTTGTCTTCAGCAGCTCGCACAGCATCCGCTTTCGTGATAATGAAGATGCTGTACCATTTGCAGAGCATGAAGTTCAGCCTCGACGAGGTTCATGCAGCAGCAGTAGAAGGTTTGAAGGGGGTCAGCTGGGAACGGAACTCGTTTGCGCTACCCCTGAGGAGGCGGAAGTGAGCCCTTCGCATGGGCCAGTGGCTCGTACTGCTGGGTAAATCATCTTCGCCTTGTTATTGTCCACTGTTGGTCCTGACGCTCTGCACAGTTCCTCTTCTCTGTAAGTGTTTTTATCAGCTGGCCAGCGGAGGGGAGACTTTCATCAGGCACTCCTTGCTGGATCAGCTGACTAGGTGACTCGGTGACTGCTGCATCTGGCATGGCATATTTGGCATAGTTGCAGACCGCGATTAACAACTTGCCTTTTGTTCCGAGTGTCAGAGCTGCACAGTGGACCTTTGGCGTTTGCATTGTAGGCTTTTTACCGTGGGATCTTCCCCTTGTGCTGCTTGACGAGGAATAATGGTGCACAAACAGAATAAAGAGGTAGTGCGGAGAGCAGGAGTGCTGTTAGTTAAGCCCATTTAGGAAACAGGGAAGGTGTAAAAGAAATGTAGCCCATTTCACTACCCCTTGGCCAGCACTGTTTGCTTGCGTTAACACCATTTGTGCCTGACGGATCAGAGTAGCAGCCCAGCTTGCAAGTAAGGGGGACAGCTGCGGATAGGGTCGATTGCCTGGATCCCTTAGGAAACGTTCGAATTTCACTGACATGGCCCAACATTTGCAAGCATTTGATAAGCCCCTAGCTCTGCTCTCTCCTCAGACTCATTAAGAGACCTAAACCACACAAAGTGATGCATATTCAACCGCGTTCTCCCAAATGCAAATCGGACGTTGGTGACTTTCAATGCCGATGGCCAGCTTTCTGCCTTGCCAGCTCGTTGTTGCTTGATGGAGCCCACTGACAAGCGGGCTGCACTACGTGTGCATACAGGTAAATCGCTGGTAGCTTGGCTGGCCCAGTTGAGCCAGACGCCTCGCGAGAAAAGGCCTCCAGCTGGTACCCACTGAGAGCCTCAACTGCGGTGTACATACGCGTCTACTTGTGTTCCGGTGCTTCACCTCGATTCTTTGCCAGTAAGATCACAATACGCGGAGTTGCGCTCTGAACTTGCGCAGTTCTCAGCCTCTTGCAAATGTCCTTGTCAGCCAAAATCTGTTACGAAAAAAAAATCGCTACAACGTGCGTGCAATGACTACTGCCGCGTACACGAAGCGCCTTACCACTGTCTGGGGAAGACAGCTGATTCAATTATCGGGAACGGCCTAGTTGACCTAATCTAAAGCCGTGTTGTTTGGTTCGGAGGTTGTTGCGACGACAGTTCTATGCGCCTGTGCACTGCGACTGATGTCTGTTGTGGAAAAACTCATGGCTCTCTTTTGATTCGTAGGCCATCTGAATCCTTCAGTGTGTGTCTTCTCTCTGTGCTCCTCCGGTGGTTTCGGCTCTCCTCCCTGGCTCTGTCCCCCACCAGAGACTCTTTATTAGCTGAGCTTGGTCGTTCTCCTCGTGATCTCTTGTCTTCCAGCCGTTCCCTTGACCTGGTCCGTTGTCGCTCCCCTCTCCGTGTAGATGCTTCGGCGCTGCGTCGCCTGCTGCGTGATCTGCGTCGTTCTGTCTTGATAGCTCCTTGCGGCCGCACTGGCTGTTCGTCGCCTGCCGTTGCACTCTCTGAATGGCGACGCCTGTGGGCCTTCTCTTCTGTACTGCCCCGCTGCCGCTCAGTGCCCTCCCCGGCCCGCCCACTGCTCCTGTGGTGCTGTCGGCTGCTCCTTTCCCTCTGCTCCTCCCTCTGCAGGGAACGCGACCGACGTTTGCTCTTGAACGCATGTCTGTGGGGTCTATCTTCATCCCTGTATTCCTTCCGTTCTCTTTGCATTCGCTCTTTCCCCCCCGATCTTATCTTCGACGATCGCTCTTCAGAGGAGCAGCGCTTTATCGTTTCCCCATCAAGGTCCAGCCCCTCCCCTCGCCGGCTCTTGCTGGGGTCAGTGCTCCGGTAGTTCGGGCTTGGGCTTCCCCGGCGCCTCTTGACGCGAGGATGGCTGTTGCTGCGGCTGTGGCTGTGCCTCCGGCTATCAGCTGAAGATGAACGGCCTCGGGAGGATCGGGACTCGCTGTGTCGCTCTTTCTTCACCGCCCGAAGATGCCTTGCTTCCCTTTTGCGTTCCTTTTTCCGCAGCTTCTTCAATTTCCTGAACAGAAGCAAAACTTGAAGCCAAAATGCATGCAATCCCTCCACTCACGGACCAACATCGTACAGCTGTATGCGAAATTTAGCGGCAAGGCTCACTTCTGTTCTTTCTTCAGCTTCTTCAGCGCCTTCTCAGCAGCCCGCCGGTCATCTTCAGCTGTAGTTGCAACTGCAGCTGCAGACGGCGGTTCTTCGTCTTGAAGAGCTTCCCCTGCAAGGAGGTGCCGCGGCCTGCGTCCCCTGCCAAAAAAAGCAAAGACAGAGGAAGCGCACAAGAATGAGCAGCAACAAGCACCATTCCCGGCACGGAAGCAGCATTTCGCGGGGTTTGCACATTGACACACAGGTGCGCAACTTCAGATCTCTTACAAAGCCTCTTCTAGGAGTTGCTGCTCAAAGCGCTTCACTCTCCTTAACTCCTCATCTTCTGCCCCACTGGGAACTTCAGTTTCTTTCTTCTTCGTCCACCAATCGAACTTCTCGAATTTCCCCCCCCGCGTGCAAATTCCTACCTTCGCACTAGCGCCTGCACCCCGCAAAGATGTCGAAGGATACATAACGAAGAAGTGAATGCGTCTGTAGAAAAACGAGCACATACTGAGATTGCTGAAATAGCGCGTTTGCGTTTGCAACGGATGGCGCTTCAGGTGCAAATGCGCTTTGCAGTTGGTTGTTAGCGCTGAAGGGTATGATCCATGTGCAGTATGCATAATATGGACCACTATAAAAGCGGTTGCAATGGAGTGCCATCTATCCGAGAAGTGCGAGCTGCGGTAAGGAATCAGGATACTAAAAATGTACGTACGAGTAGACGATGACTAAACAAGTAACAGTTCTTCTGCCCTTCAAACCAATTAAACTCTGTTCTACTGCATAAACTGCGCAAAGCCCAGGGGCAGGCTTGGGTTGCACTCACCGAGGTAATAGTCACGGTCGGCGTTCGTCTGCGTCTTAAGAGACTCCCACTTGAAGTCTTCCCACCCCCCCCGTACTCCCTCGCGGGGAGGGCTCTGTTTGATGTATACGGCCATTATGAAGAGAACTTATTTGCCCTTCCCTAGTTTGCAACGAGATGCCTAGCGCGCCTTCACGCGCATGCGGTAGAAGTGCTGCGTGAGCGGCCGGGATGAGAGGCGCATCCTTCATAGAAGCACTAACAAACGTCTGCAAAATCTGTCCACTCCTTCATTTAATTACACTCCTAAGAACGGCAAGAATGGCTCACAGTGCCGTAGTAGAGTATCGCCGCCTCGGTTGGGGCTGGACATGCAGCCACGGCCAGGCGAGCCCAGTCGCTGGTGATTCAGAACAACCAGGAGCCATATTCACCTGAATAACAGATTTAGGTCTCTCCTCAAAAATAGCCTCACATATACGTCATAGTTCCTCCACAAATTGTCTCTGGGGAGCGGGAGGGGGGGAAGTCTGGTGATTGCGCCACCGGGATAGCACTAGCAAGCTAGTTTTACTTATGGTTTTGGGGACAAATGAGTTGCTGCAATTTTCTGTAGCATACTTTGTAACCAACTCCTCAGGGCTGGAAAACTCGTCTGCATGACGGTGAGCAGGTTATGTGCTTCTCGGGGGATCGAATGCAACTTTTCGTTCCCAGTGCTTGACAGTGAGCTGGCAGTGACTGGGTTCCCGTTCAAGTCAACTTGAATGGGGGGTTAATTGCCGTTTCAAGGCGAAAAATTCATTTTTGCGAGGGCTGGATACTTCCCTCTCAACTGGCAACCCGTATAGAGCGCGTGCGTGTCGACGATGTGACTTTCGTCGACGATGCAAATTATTATTATGTGCCCATATCCACTCTCTAATGCAAATTCCACATTAATTTGATCAATTTGCTCGCTTCGCTCTAGGGAGAACAGCGCAGTGGAGCAGCAATGGCAAACGCGACTCTCGCTCTTGGTCCGTACACCGCTATGAGTAAAAAGTGGGAGCTGGCTTTGCGGAATCATCTCCATATAATGTTTTGAGGGGAATGCATGTGCTCCCGCCATTCCTCGCATATCACAGTGAGGGGAGACAGGGGGCCAATCAATTCAACCCAGATAGAGCCGAATGCCAGACCCAATAGATGAGTGTAGGAACAGAAAACGGATTTTTTAGTCGCCACACTGCTGCAGCCCGCAGATTCCTCTAGTCTATTTTCCGTAGGGGTTGAGTCGGGACTCCCACAGCCGCTATGAACGGCAGAGGAGCCATACCAGGTGGCAGTTGATGACCGCTCTGCGCGTCTCGCTTTTTTCGTCGATGGGGGCAAGACGAACTTATTTACACGCTGCTTTCTGAGTGGAAGCAACGAGAAATCAGTGAGGCGGACAATATAGTCACCAATGCGTTTCCCTCTTTCACAGCCAGGCAGCAGATGATGCATGCATGCGGGCCCCTGCGTGAGGGGAGCGTAGGGCCGTTTGACACAGGAAGCTCCAGTCTTTTTTGTTGGAGTCACTTGTCGGCGTCTTTTCGGATGCAGATGCCTGCACACTGGCCTGCTTGTAGAGTCTCCAGAGCCTCCGAAGGAAGTTGCAGTTCAGTAGTTGGAGTGTGTGAGGGAAGGACTGTCTTGAGCAATTTCTTGCACTGGCACGTAGGCGCCGGTGGCTGCTGCTGTGTCAGTTGGTTGCCCAGCTTGGGGTGCGCCTCTGCGCGCCTTCATTCTGCTTATCGTCAGGACTTTGGCGCGTCGTGCGTACTTTTTAGCTACAGCCAGGGTGCTGATCATGCATCGGTCGTTCATACGTGATGGCGATCGGCCCCGGAGACCCAAGGCCAGGGAAGCCTTCTCTGAAATGTCTTCTTCCCTCATTCCGAATTCCGGAAAAAGCAGTGTAATACGCGGAAAACACTGTGGAATGCGTGCGAACAGCAAACCAACGAAGCCGATGAGAATGCTCAAGAACCACTGCTCCCATGTGAGGCCCTGAGCACAGCAGGCAACAACATGCAATGCTGTCGTTCATTGCAAGGAAATTACTTCTGACGATCATAGAAGTTCTTCAAGTACGCGAGAGGTGGGGACTGAGACTTCTACGTGCAACAGCGGAAGCACGCGTATACCTCTATTCTAATGTAATAGTAGGTTCCCACTGCTTGTGCTTACCAGTGCTAATAGGCAATCAACATCAATATGTGTGTTACTAAGACTGAGAACTATTGTACTAATTGGAGATACGGTACACTATACTACTGGGTATGAAGAATATGATACATCTCTAGAGAACTTGAAGCACTCTGGGACCTTTGAGAGATGCTAATGATCTGAGCGACTTACCTCACGGTGACAGCCCAGCATCGGGCCGCCGTACTCCACCATCAAAACTTGTGAGCAGAGAATAAACAGCCAAATAAAGAACCCCAACGGGTTACTTGTCATCTTGACAAAAAGTCGCGGCAAAGACATTTTTTTGGCGAAATCCTCTTCGACGTCCCTGGCATTGATCATGTTGAACAGCTGCATGAGCACGAATGTATTAAACACGAATGTCAGGTGTCGGGACGGCCCAATAATTCCTATCCAACGCTCTTCGTAGTCTTCTTCCGTGGAGAACAATTTGAACCTTCTGCCAGACCTCATGAGGCTTCCCTGTCCTGCAACAACGGAAGCGAGCACAACTAAAATACGCACTTTCGACACTGTTTCTTATGTTAAATCTGGCCTTATTTACAATGCCGCTTTGACGTGCCCCCCGTTATTCAAAGTAGGAATATGGCAGGAACAACTGGACGCACCTGTCATGGGGTCGCAGTCTGAAAATTCACAAAAGTCGTTATTGGATCTGTCTGCCGGTAATAGGTACCCCCATTCTTTTTCAGGGAGGAAGCAGTCTCCAAAGAAGATGAGACCCATCATGACAACGAGTTGGTACACTGCAGAAGTTGTGATAGTGAGTGCCATAGACCGCGAGATGAGCGACTGATGCCTGTGGTGCGGCTTCTCCTTAAGAAGATCGGGCGTCGGCATCTCCGTGGCCAGAGCCAGCGAGGCGAAGCTGTCCATAATGAGATTCACCCACAGCATTTGCACGGCTGTCAATGGCGAGTCTCGCAATAGAGCTGCGCAGACAATCGTCGTGACCACAGCCACCACATTGACGGTGAGTTGGAACTGGAGGAAGCGCCGGATGTTGCTGTAGACATTCCGTCCCCACTTCACCGCCTGCACAATGCACTGAAAGTTGTCGTCTAGCATAACAATATCAGCGGCTTGCTTTGCCACTTCTTTGCCAGTAATGCCCATCGCCAGTCCGACGTCTGCCTTCTTCAACGCAGGTGCATCGTTTGTGCCGTCGCCCGTGACAGCTACTACCTGGCCTAGTTGCTTCAACGCCGTGACTAAGACGTATTTGTCGGACGGCTGGGATCTCGCAAGGACTTGAAGACGCTTCCAGATGCGTTCAAAGGCATCCATATTCCCGATAACATCCACTCGAAGGTTCTTTCCCTCGGCCTCTGCAGTCTTAGCATCTGTCGCGCAGCCGCAGATGGCAGTTCGGCAGTTCTGGCAGACAACGCCCCCGACGAGTTGTGTGAATTCAGGGCCCAGCATTGCCAGGTCTCCTCTTTCTTCGTTGAAGATGTGGCACTTTTTTGCAATGGCTTTTGCGGTGATAAGATTGTCCCCCGTCACCATTCTCACGTTGATGCCTGCTTGGTGGCACCTCTCCACGGCTCCCGGTACTTCCTCTCTCACGGGATCCTGAATGCCGAATATACCCAGGCAGATAAGGTCTTGTTCGGCAACCAGAAACAATTGCTTCGGGGCAGGCTGCTTTTCCTTCCAGTTAGGCACCTCGCTCACGTCGAATTCGCGATAGGCAATGCAGATTGTCCTGAGGGCCTCACGGGCCATTCCGTCGATGATGCGGTCTTCAATCCCCTTTTTGTGCTCTGGCTGCAACTTTTGGATCTGGCCGCTGGCAGTCATCAGGCCGTTACACAACTGAAGAACCCGTTCTGCGGCGCCCTTTACATAAACCCGCATATGCGACCCCCCGCACTCCTCCCGGTAAACGACCGTCGTCATCATTTTACGATCGCTAGAGAACTCTTCCCGGTGAGCGATGAGGGAGTCAGATCCCTTTAATCTCCGCGTTTCCGCGTAATCCGCCCCGCAGATAAAGTCATTGTATTCCAGAAGGGCGCATTCCGTTGCAGAGCCCACGTACTTCACTGTGTACCGAGCTGTCTCCTGGCCATTATTCAGCGTCATCGTCTCCATTTTTTCGAGAAATGCTGTTGAGTTCAAAGCAACGCTTTCGGAAACGAGTTCCCACTTCTCTGTCCGCTTATTGAAGCCGGGGACACCAGTTGTGTCTGGACCAGCAAAAGAAGTGGAGGGAATGTGAATAGTTTCGGAACCGTCCCAAAACTCTACGGCGCTCATTTGGTTCCTTGTAAGAGTGCCGGTCTTGTCTGAGCACACTTCATTGGCAGACCCCATTGTTTCGCACGCTCCCAAACGCCTTACGTAGTTCTGATCGGCAAGCATTTGCCCAATGGAATACGCCAGAGATATGGTAACTGCCAAAGGCAGCCCCTCAGGCACAGCAACGACGAGGACCGTTATGGCTGTGACGAAGAAGTGCACGTGACTGCTGACGATCCCCACAAGCGGGGGACGCTGATCAACTTCCGTGTAAGCATAAATAATCCAGTACTCCAGTACAAGGACGAAAAAGGCAATGATGGAGCAAATTAACCCGAAATTTCCTATATCTCCAGCAAGTGCATTCAGCTTGAGCTGCAATGGCGTTGCTTCTGTGTCGAAGGAAAGCTTCTGGTACAGTTGCCCAGCTTGGGAATGAGGACCAACCGCTATGACAATCGCCGTGCCGCTTCCGGTATTCACGGTTGTTCCGGAAAGAACGACGGGAGAAGCAATGAAGTGGTGTTGCATCGACCTGGGGCTTCGCGTACTGCCGTCTACAAGCTGCGCCATGCAGTCTTCATATGTGTCCTTCTTTATCATTTCAGATTCTCCTGTCAGTGAGGATTCGTCCATACGCAATCCACGACATGAAATCACTAAGCAGTCCGCTGGTAGTTCGTCTCCCGCTTCAAATTGCAGCAGGTCGCCCAGCACAAGGTCAAACACGGAAACTTGGGTAGGGCAGCCATCTCGCAATACGGTGCAGTGCTTGTCGTCCTTTACCGCGGAGAGCTGACGGAACTGTTGTTCTTTGAGCCAGTCATTTCCGGCTGTGACGAGGACGACGACCAACACGGCCACCCAAATCGCAGCGCCTTCCATCCACTCAACTTGGGGATTTTCGCCAAATAGTTGAGAGAGGATAATGGAGGCCAAGCCGCAGACCATAAGAATCTGCAGGGTATTGTCGGATGCAGCGTCAATACAAAGGGAGAGGAAAGAAGCTGAAGCACGGGAGGGGAGCCGATTAACGCCAAATAGCTTGCGCCGCCGTTCAATATCTTGCTGGTCTGATAGCCCAATAGTTCGTGGGACATGCAGCATGTGGGCGACGCCTTCTCCTCCTCCCATGTTCTTCAGAAGGGTGAGATCCTCGCACTGTGTGCGGGTTACATAGGCCTTGACAAGGCCAGTTAGTTGGCTCGTGATGCCATCGGCTTGCTCAGGAGATATGTGATCCAGAAGACCTTCCTCAATTATAGCTAAGGACTCCTCCATAGACGAGTCTCTGCGGCTGCTGAGTCGGCGGGAATAGTACGTTCGACTCAGTCGGGGGTCTCGTTCTTTCCGCTCTTCGTAGTTGTCCACTGCGCAGCACAGCCTCCCTAACAGTAGCAAGGCCATGCCCACCCAGAGAACCGCCCCAACGGAACCACACATTTGCAGAGAACAAACAAAGATAGCCATGACGGAGGCCAGTTCGCTGATGCGCCACACTTGAGGACCGGAGGTCTTCATGAGTGCGTTGGTCGCTAGATTTTTGAAAAAAGGAATAGTTCCCGCAGTCACCCAACAGCCTAAAATAAGCCATTCTTGCTTGTCAAAAGAAGCCAGCTTTGAAATTGGTAACAAATCCGGCTGCTCTTCTGTTAGCCATATGACAAGAGGCAGCACCACTATCCCTGTGATGCTGCATGCCGCTGTCAGGTATCCTTCGTCTGCACCACTCATATGCAGGGCTCTGGGTAGGTAGGCTCCACGATATAATGCGGACGTAATGGCCAATAAAATGCAGTAGTTGAAATTAATGTATCCCAAAGAGAAGAGACAGGAAAGACCCAAGAGTCCCACCGCCCACCACCTTAAAGGACTGTAAGCTGTGCTGCATCCTGTAGATCTGAACACGTGGTGGAATGCGACTAAGAGCCCCGATGCTACGGGGAGAGCAGCTGGATGAAGTATTGCTGATATTGTGGCGTTATATGCCGCGTGAAAGGCGCAGTAAGCCAGGGAGTAAGGGAGGAGCTGCACAAACCATTTGAACCCCCCGAACCTCACACGGGGAGAGAAGGTGGCTTGAGGGAAGGAGACGCCCAACTCCCCAACTATGGAAGCACTGGTTAACAGCTGCAGCAGCTGCCACCATGTCAGATAGAGCGGCGTTGGGAAGTATGTAAGAATGCAGAAAGACACGAGCACCTGCGATACTGTGAGGGCTACAGCGGCAGTTAAAAGGAAGAGTTCCAGCGGCGACCACGTGAACTCCTTAAATACTCCCCCCAAACTTCCAAGGAAGCTGCCCAGTGGGCTCGCCGATTCCGTCATTATGGGTTCATGCTCATTTCACTGCGATACCTGTACACGTAGTGGGAGGAAGCTTCTCCAGTCGGAAAACCGGCCCGGAGTCCTACTATCAACAGGTTCTGCTTAGAATTAAGCGTGAAAACCCCTTTCTTTTTTCTAGAAGCTTGTGATGTCGTGTTAGCAGCCGACAATATAGACTAAAATGCTGCGATGGAAGGGGAGCTGCGCAGGACTCGCGGCGCCTCGTCAGGGTGACAAGTAAGACAGGTTGTGCCACGAAGACAAATTCTTCCATACACAAGAAGAGGAGCTCAACTTATAAATCTTCAGGCCTCCTTGCGCCTTGTAGGGCCCCCCTGGGACGCCAGAAAGAAGAAAGCGAGCACCCAGTACTCTCCGCGTCGGTCACAGGGTCCTCGCCGTACCTGCAACTCGCCAAATCCTGAGGAATGACCGCTCTAATATATCTCCTGTCTGTCAGGAAGTCTGCATGCAATGTTAAATATTAAGGCAAGTGGTCTGCAGCAGCCCGGTGGGTCGACGCGGCCGCCGCCGACATGGCTGGGGCGATGAGTGGCTCCTGGGAGGTCCACTACGGGCGGCGGCGATACTTTGGCGTGCGGCGTCTAGACACTGCGTGCGCTCATGAAGTATCTTCGGTTCAAAAGTATAGAAAAAGGAATTGGCATAGCCAACAGCAGATCCTAGGAATTACTTGGACAGCCTCGCCACCGCAGCAGACCGTTGGGGCCTGCGCTGCAGTGTCACCCGGTCAGCATTGCACGCTTTCGGCGGCGGGGCTTCTAATTGTCTTCGTATTGTTTTTCATCTCAGTAAGGTGGCGTTTTTAACTTTTCTCTACTATAAATTAGCACCATCTAACTCTGTATATCCTGCCATTTGTGCCTCTCGTTTCCGCACTGACCGCCCCCAATTCTGTGGTCTTCGCTAGCACGAGTTCCGGAGCAGCAGGTGGAGATGGCCCACTGTTTAAAAAAAAAGGCCGGGTAGACATGCATGATGAAGCCCATAGACAAGATTTATTTCCGCCTGAATGCGTATGTTGTCCGTGCCACTGAACTTGAAGCCTTTTTACTCAGTTTACTGCTTGGCCCGGCCCGCCAAGTAGCGAAACACCTGCAGACCTTCTAAATATGAAGGGCTGCACGATGTGGGGGTAGTTGAGCAGCTCCTTGTCTAGTGAGAGGTTTCCCTAGAGAGGACCATCGCGTGCTGCAATCGAGTCGAAACGCTTAAGAATATACCCCCCAAAGGAAGGGGATCTGCTGTGTAGCATCAAGGACTTCTGAAGGTAGCAATACAAAGGCCTGATGCTCATATGGGAAGAAGACGTGCCTCAGGCATTTGTATCGCTACCCCAGAAGCCTGATACGAGTTGCAGCACCTTGCTACAGCTCTTGCTGTAAGGCACCCAGGTATGCAAGCATACCAATCATCCCCCTTGCTACATGCACTAGCACGGTAGGCTGTTGTTAAATATTAAGTTGGCATTTCGTAGCCGCCACGTAAGTAGAAATAAACGTGCCAACTTCAGCAAGAGCAGGCCACATTTTCCACCCCCTTGTCCCCCAAGCAGCATGTGCACTCGTGTGCCTGGGTACCCAATTAAGGATGGGTAGGGTAATAGGACGAATGGAAGATGCGAGAGAGAGAAGAACCCAGAAAAAGAGCGTGTGGCTTCTGCCAATGCCACTTGCTTGCTCTGTTGCTGTTGAGCATAACACGGCAGCCCGCGCCTAGTGCCGCCTGAATGTACAAGGAGTCAAAACTCAGAAAGGAAACAAAAAGCACCGTAGATCAGCCCATGCAGAGAATAAAATGGCTGGCCGGTAGGGGGCGCAAGGATGCTTCATTGACCACGCCCGTGATACGATTGATATATTTAACTACCCCGGTGAACAGAAACTATTGCTCCCTCGTCTTTTTGTTGAGGGGATCGAAGTCGATGCAGACGCTGCACTGCTCTCCATGGTTCTTCCCAAGTACCGCATTGCTCCCAACCGCACTACTTGACGAATTAACCTCCCTTTTTCTTAGTAGTTCATCTCTCGAAATCTTCAAGAACGGGGGGTCTCATGCAAACTGGAACGGAATTGCTTGGGAGCGAATTCGATACGCCAATGGGCTATCCGGAAGTTGGCCGGCCTTCTTGAAGATCCTTGTTATTGAGTATTTCATAGAAATGTCCTTTCAACGGTGCCCACTTCTGCTGCTTCCCGGCTGGTGGCTCGATTGAATATCACAGAAGTGCTGTCTTCATGAAGCCGTCACCAAGAAGCGCAGACATATCTCCACAACCTGTAGCAGCTTTGCACTTCGGTGGATTCTTCGACCTTCTTTCTTCGTGGGGTACAAAATCCATTCTTCTTACCATAGAGGATACAAATTGCTTTGCAGAGCGCTGGGACGCGCACTCTCTCATTGTTTCCCGGCCAATTGACTTCAGTGGTGCCTCCTGTAGATCCCATGTGCGCCTCCCGCGAAGTCATCCACGGCATGCCCATCGTTATCTCGTCATGGACTGGCCAATCATAGTAGTCCCACTTTTTGTTCTGTGTACACATTTATTATCTATATTTCGCACATCCCTGTCTCCACTGTCGTAGCTGCGAAGCCTAAACGATACTGCTCTGATTCAACGAATTAGCGGCAGGTTGCCCCTCCACGCCGGCGCTTCAGATACTGAATCCGCTCTACAGCCTCTGCCAAGTATAGCTAGCAACTTCTTACCATCAGTACGAATTTGGCAAACTACAGAGTTACCTCGAGGCGAAACTGCAGGTACCGCTGTCATCTCTTTCGTCCCCATCGCTGCTCCGCACACTGCCTGCAGGCCACAGCCTCTCCCTACTCGTTTTGTTCGTCCCCCTAGTGGCACTGTTCGAACTCGTGCTCCTCCAGTTCCTTGTGGTTTTTAATTTCTTTGCACTGAAATGACCTTGCTTATTGCACAAGAAGCAGATGTACTGCTCTGTAAGTCTTCTCAGCTTTCGGAATGCGGAACTTGTCGGCGGCTGTCGGTTACTTCTTTTATGTTTTTCTGGGCGGGGCTGGCGTTCACATCCCAATATCCATAGGCCCTATGTCTGGGCCATTTTCACACCCTTTTTTCCTTCTCAGCCAGGGCACTGGGAGAGGCTTCGATATTCCTTTTGATACGCAAGTACTGCGTCATCGCGGAGCGTTGCACCTTTTCCCTCTTGGTTCCCTCTCCGCCACCCAACCCGTCACCCATTGCCTCTTACCCTAGGGCAGCATTGCTAGGAACCACTGGAATAGTAGTTCTGCGTCTACTGTTGGACTTGCATTCACCAGGAATTCATACTTTCGATCCAGCTTTCTACTCCCGTTGCTCAACATCTCTCAGTTCTGCCCTATCCTGTTTACTTGCCCACACAGGAGTAAACCTGCATCACAGTGTATCGTGGAACGCTTCCATAGTCAGGGTGTGCTACGGAAAAGTGGTAGCTTCGGATGGAAATAACCACCATTGTCGTGCCCCCCTTTCACATGGAGAAGATACCAGTAGAAAATGCAGCCCGTCGGGTGCACTCTGAAGGCGAAAGTACCACTCCAGAGAAACAAGCAGTTGCTGCACTGTCTTCACCTGGCGTCGCCCGTGATATCTGGACGGCCAGCAAAATCGAAAGGCATTCCTCAAGAAGTGTTCCTGCTCTGAAGACATTTTCCACTGGGTGGGATACAGATACTGCGCTGGTTCCAACGCTACTAGGTGGCCAGCCACTGGTTGCTTATACACTGCAGGGCAGATCCTAATCAATCGCCATTGTGCAACAGGAGAGATGGGCTGAATTTTTGAAGGACACATTAGGGACAATATGCGATACATAATTTTTTTCCTTGTAATGCGCCTCCGTTACTAATTACAGCTACTCACCGGGCCACCCCCCTTTTGCAAGGGGCGTCGCTGCTTCGCACTTGCCCAGGTGGCACGTGCTGTGTTGCCAAGTGTACCGAGGGCCATCAGTCTTGTCTGAGGGCCGTCGCGAGTTGCACGGGGAGCCGAAGACTTCCCAAGAAGCAGCTGACCTCCCCTCCAGTCCCTGGGCGTTCCGATCACAGCAGCCAAAAGGCATGAGGATCGTACCGGAGGCGGCCGTTTGAGATAAGTTGCGAAGCACCTTGCAGCAACTAGTGCTGCAGCTGCAAGGTAAGCAGATATGCCGGCCCACTGCAAGCACAACCCAAGTGCCGTCTTGCTGCTGCATACAGTTGCACGTTAGACAGTCGTTGAGCACTTACTTCCCTCTTAGTAGGCGGCATGCACGGAAATAATACTACACCTACCAACTTAGGACAGAGCACGGTACAGATCCCTTCAAGCCGTGTGTAGGCAGGAACCACTCCTGGAACGCAGCTAGAGCACTAACTACTGTAAGAACTTGACTATTTAGGAAAGTAATAAGAGTACGCTATCATTTGAATTGAAATACTATGAGTAACTGATGGTGAATGCCGAGCGAACATATAACCTGGGCGTGAGCGGGATAGTGTACGCCACTCGGTGGACCTGGTGCGACTAAGACAGGAGTTGTAGGCTGCTCAAAAGACGTTTAAATGAAGCAAAACTTCATTTAAATGGGTAAATAAGAGAGACAACCAACAGTTAAGACACTAGAAAAGCAGCCGATCAGGTCAGGTACAACTGCCACAAGAGCCCCCCAAAATGGCTGCTGCCTTGATGCATTGGTGAAAAGTGTAGACAGTTCGATTCCTGTGAAAAATAATTTTCATTTGTGCAAAAGTTGCATTGAATTTAGGTGTATCGACAGCTGGTTTGCTGCGTCTTTTGCCCATTGCCACCCCCCATTGCATCGTGGCGTGCTGCGTGTGCAGCGAGAAAGAAGAGAGCGGCGTTCTGAAGTGCGCTCTTTATCTTCTTCTTTGCATATTGACTCTATTCCATATAGTAGGCAGTTGAAATCTGCAAAAGGAGCCCGAAACCCTCCGCGGGCTCTCCAGGGGCCGGACTTTGTGTTCGCAAGATGCCGGTTTCCTGGGAGAGAGATCTGGGGAAGGCGTGCGTAGTAGACAGAGGAAGTCCAAATGTAGAAAGAAGTGATCTCTGTCTAGAAGAAACTCATGATGCTGTTTCTTCTTTTCCAGTTTCAGAGGTTCATGAACCGCCGCCGAAGAATACAAGCAGATGCAATGTGCCCTCTGAGGTACGCGGTTCATGAAAATATCCACCGAAACAACTGTCTAGACACCCCGAAATAAATGCACAGAACGCAGATGGATTCAGGAGGCATATTTATATCTCAGCGATTCAGAGAAAGATGAAGCCCCAGCGTCTTCCTCGCAACTTTCCTTCTCCTTCTTCCTGGAATCCGTTGGTGTATATTTTCTGTGTTTGTCTGTCGCCCTCGAATATATATTTCGGGCTCAAATGCTCTGTATGCATGTGGATGCTTGAATGTGTGCACATCCAACTCTCTCTGCATCTATTCGTTTCGTACATACATACCTTATATTTATGTGGATGTATTTATGTATGCATATATATATATATATATATATGTCGATATATAGATCTCAAGAAGCAGTGCACAATGCACATATATGCATAGGATGCTTCTTCTTTGTTCGTCATTATGTGCTCTTAGGACAGTGGCTGCACTATGCATGCCCGAGTTGTCGGTTTGTGTTATTGCATTTGTATTGAATAGGGTATTTAGACATTCTTTGCTTGTGTTCTTCCTTCAACAGAGCATGTACAAACACCTGTACTGGCGGAGTTTAAAAGACGCCGACAACTTCTGGAAAGAGGTAAAATCTCTTCACTTTTTCGTTGACTTATGCGGCTTTCCTTTCTCCTTTCTGTCTACACGTTATTTTCTTACCGCATCTTCATGCTAACCCTATTATGCATTTAAACATATCTACGAACTTGCATATATATATATATATGTATATCTGTGTGCCCGGCGTACTTGCATTTTTGTGTAGATAGGTAGATGGTTTGAATGCAGCAAATTGCGGAGTTGCTGTGTGTTTATGTCTGCCTTTGTTGGGGTGTCTGTACAGCGGGCACTAGAGAAACTTCGTTGGTTTCAGCCCTTCACGAAAACTCAACATGGGTCGCTCAAAGACGGAGATGTCTCCTGGTTTCTCAATGGAAAACTCAATGTGAGAGGCCCTCGGCCCCTTCTGTTGCTGAAGCAGCTGCAGCAGCTGCAGCAACAGCAGCAGCAGCAGCAACAGCAACAGCAGCAGCAAGGGAGCAGTA